CCCTCCCCCCTACCCTCCCCCCACCCAGAAAAAAACCCCCCCCACGCCCCCCCACCCTCCCTACACTGGTTGTGGGACGGACATAATCCCCCCCCCCTCTCCCCCATTACCCTCCCTACCGCCTCAATATCCTTGCCGCAGCGGCCTCGCATTAGCGATAAAATTATCAATATCCTTTTCTTTCCTTTTCATAATTATTATTTCTAATCATTTTCCCTCCAATGAATATATTATCCTGAACGGGAACCAGAAAATGAAAATCTAAGAATTCCCATATTAATCATAAGAATCCCAAATTAAAATAAATAGAAAAATATATAATTGAAACAAGAAAATTCTTCGATCTTAGCCTTCAAAATAAATATATCTTGAACATTTCAGATTATATAAATTCACTTCATGAACAACAGAGATGAGAATCAATAACAAATTCTCTCATAATCGATATTATATCATATAAAAAAAGAAATCTACATCCATTCACTAAGTTGATATATAAATGATATATGTATATATATATCATTGAAGAATCCATTAAAAATAGATATGTATATATATATGTATAGATATCATTTCAAGGTTCATAAAGTTCCTCCTATGCAGCCCAATTTTTGGAAATGGATTTCTGAGCAATGTGGTTTCAAATATTTATTCACATCCTGTTGAAGGTTCATGATATTTCAAGAACGTCCTGGTCTTTGTTTCGCTTTGATGTCCTTTGATTTGATGTTTTGGGAGAGATCGGTTGATCTCTTGTTTTTTCTTCTTTTGGTCCGTTTCATGTCCCGGAGATTTGATTCCCGTTAATTCGGGGTGGCGGTGGGTCTTCTTACGTGGTTGGGAGTCTTGGGGCTAAGAGTTTGGTATTCGTTACGTCATTTCTCCAAACGGCATGTACAACGTGCCTTTGGGAACTTATTCCCCCCATCATCGCAATCCATCGGAACGAATCGCCCATGTTTTGTCGAGGGCAGGCCTTTTCCGCATCCATCAGCTAGGATTGTTCTTCGTAGGCTTTCACTGCTTTCTTATACGTCTTCAAGACCTAGTGGCTGAACAGGGGCTGACAACCCATGCATATATGGCTACACCCTAAACCCTAAACCCTAAACCCTAAACCAGGGTGTAGTTTCGGGGAAATGTGCTTCTGCTCGCTCCCAACCATGCACGCCATGCTGCAGGAAGTGGGAATTAGGAACTGCGGAGCCATATTCTATTGGGACCTTTCTTCGCAATACCTTCGGATCGTCCTGGTGGAAGAAGTTTAGGGTTCAGGGTGGTTTTGCGGCTGTGTACCGTTGAAAGGACATTCGGACCGTTCTCGAAATAATAATCCCTTTCGGGATTCCCTTAGCATAAGCCTTCCGTAGTATACCAGCAACCGAAAAACAGCACCAGGAGAGACAGCACTAGTGACGAAACTGAACAAACCGACCAGTCACACCAGACTGGACCGCCTGGATCCTACACCCTTGACCCCGAAAACCCAAAAACCCTAAACCCTAAACCCTAAACCCTAAACCCTAAACCCTAAACCCTAAAAAGAACTTCTGAGCCAAACCCGAACCCTTCCCAAACATCCGAAGGCCCTCCTGGCCGACTTTAAGCGTTGGGCGTGGTCGCACGCCGCGGAGATGTTGTCCAAGGCCTTCTCTACCGCAGCCTTGCAAATTGGGGTGTAGACCTTTAGGGCATGGGTTCGGCTCGGAAGTGATAGGTTGTTAGGGTTCCTTGGTCTGCGCTCTAGGCAAAGTACCCCTGCACGACTCCATACCCTAAACCCTAAACCCTAAACCCTAAACCCTAAACCCTAAACCCTAAACCCTAAACCCTAAGGCAGGGGAAATCGGTCTGGCCCTAGGACCTAGGCGTGCCAAGCCACATCGGTGGTCGTCCCAGGATGAACTTGAACTCGCACGTTCATCTGCGGCTCCGACGGGTGCGGCACCTTGGCAAGCAAGTGACCCTGCACATAATGGTTTAGGGCTTAGGGCTTAGGGCTTGGGGCTTAGGGTGTATTTTGGTTAGCAATTGCGCAGCGACATGAGCATTGGCAGTGGAAAGTGTGCTGTGGCTTGCTGCATTCTCCGCCAACCCTCCTCTGCCCTGATGCAGCACAGGCGCTGTGTATCCCGCGAACTCTACGTCAGGATCCTTCATCAGCATATACCGCAGTGCATTGCCAAGCGTATGATCTTCTCCCGTGAATTGGTACCTCAATGGTTGGAACATGTCGCTTTTTGCACTTCGCAAGGCTCCTCCTTTTCATGGGGACAAAACATCGGCACACGGTGGGTGAGACCGCGCAGAGAATCCCGAGAATATGTTTGGAGTGTTAGCCCCGAAGAGGCCCGTAGAGAATCACACCCAACATGCTAGGAGTCTAGCGTCCACATCTGGGAAAGGAGTGCCTCGTGGCGTCACGATTTTTGCTGGTGCAACTTGCATGGCTCGGGGCTTTACATAGGAGTTTCCGGCCAGAATTAGGACAGGGCCGGCAAGTAGAACCTCTAAACACAACATGGTGCAACCCTAAAACCCGAGCGCCCGCTTTGTGGAAAGGTTTTCTTGGGGTGACGGCCGTCGAACGTTGACCTGACAGGCCGTAGAGCATACACATGTCAAGCAGCATTGGGGTATATCTCCTTAGGGTGGACATGACCCAAGTGCAACTTCATGGTTTTTCTCTTGGGGTTTAGGGATTAGGGTTTGATTTAGGGTGCTCAAAAGACAATCTTCATGCAGCAAAGGAGCGTCACGTTGGTGGTGTCTTCAGCGTCCGGTTGCTTCGCCATTGCTCATGCACAGCGTGGGTTAAGGTCTTGGCGGCTCTAGAAGTTGTAGGGGGCATCGGGCAACATGTCACATGATAGAAGTGTCTAAACAGAAGCGTGAGTGAGATCCGGTTGTGGGTGTGCTGCGGGTAGGGTAAAACCCGTGAAAGTCTGTCGCGGCTGTGGACCTGTGACGCAGCCGGTCTTAACATCAATTTTCAGTCCGGTGTGCATCCTGCTACACCGCCCTTTGGTAGCAACATCGACACCGAACGCCTCAAAAACTGACGGTCCAAACTATCGGAGTCTGCAGGTTCACACGGACTCGTGGCCTAAACCCGAAGCCCCAAACCGCAGGGTCGCATGGGCGCGCTAGTCCCGTTTCGATTTTCGTAACATCCAAGAAGCGAAAACCCTGAGACCTACTATTGCCCTAATGCATCAAGGGGGTTAGGGCTTCGGGGTTGGGGTAAGACCCTGAAGTCTACTTAAACCGAAACCTCCAAGCCCTACTATCCGAAAGCCCGAAAGCCCGAAAAGCTTGCACGTACAGCCCCAAAACCCGTGAAACCCGCTCGGACCCATCCAAAAACTTTGCGTCCGCCATCCAGCCTTGGCCCTCAAACTCCTGCGGAAACCCTTGCCCTAGAGGTTTTAGAGCCTAGACCCTAAACCCTAACACCTATGCCCTAAACCCCATCTATGACTTGAAATCCCAAAACCAACTGGAGAGCCTTCCGATGACCTAGAATCCTGTGGCCCAAAACCCCTGAACCCACATCTGTGGGTAATCCTACACCTATATACACCCTATTCTATCAACACCCCTGAAACCCTACACCCCTTACAATCCTTAAAAGCCCCACCAGCAGCCTTTTTTGTGCCCTGGGGTGAAGGTCCAGGGATCTGGACTTGGAGGTTTGAAGGCTTGCTTGAAATCTTCTCCTGGATTGGAGTTCAGTTGTGGGTTGTTTTAGGCCTTGGGGTTGACGAGGGCTTTGGGCCTTTTACTGTGCTTTGAGGGGGGTATGCGTTTGGGAGGGCCAAACGGGCCTAGAGGGTGGGATCTGGTACGGGGGGCTGGGGATACTTCAAGAAAGCCCAAGATGTGATGGGCACGCCGCAGTCTGTGCCCCGGGATTTCCTGGGACATCTCGTCAGCAGGGGCTGCAGCCTCTCAGAGGTAGGCAGCCACGTAGGACGCGTAGTCAGGCTCCTGGCAAGAATGCTGGCTTCCGTGCTTTGGGGCTCTACATCCACCTCTAAGCCTTACCTGGGGCTTAGGACTGTTTAGAGTTTAAGCCCTCGCAACCTGACCTGGTGAAACCCCAGACCATATGACCATTGCACGGAACGCCTTGAGCCGAAGCAATAGAGCCCTGTGGAATCCCCAGCCCAAGTTGGGGCTTGTGATATATGGCGGCTTGTGGGGTGTTTTTGGGGCTAAACCCTAAACCCTAAACCCTAAACCCTAAACCCTAAACCCTAAACCCTAAACCCTAAACCCTAAACCCTAAACCCTAAACCCTAAACCCTAAACCCTAAACCCTAAGCCCTAAGCCCTAAGCCCTAAGCCCTAAGCCCTAAGCCCTAAGCCCTAAGCCCAAGTCCCCCTGAAGCCCCTGAAGTCTTTCTCCTGGCCTCAGCAGGGCTCGTGGACTCTGGCGGCTCCCTGTTCGGGGCTTCCAGAGGATGAGGAAGCTGTTCGGGGTTTCCAGCTGTTTGTTGGGTTTGTTGGGTTTGTTGGGTTAGGGTTTAGGGTTTAGGGTGCGTCGGCACATTTCTTGGGTAAGGGCTTCGGGTTCGAGGTTTAGGAGGCTCAGTGTGAGAGTGCTGTATGGAAAGAGTGAGTGAGTGGTAGCTGCAAGCTTGCGTCGCAACTGTTCACTTCGGGGGTGCAGGGCCCAAGCCATCCCACTCAGGTCCATGCCCCTACTTGAGAGTCAAGGGTTTAGGGTTTAGGGTTTAGGGTTTAGGGTTTAGGGCTTAGGGTTTAGGGTTTAGAGCTGACACTTCGGGAACCCGTCCCCGCTCCCCCAATGCCCAAGGAACCTGGCAAACAAGAACGATCGAGAGCTCCGAGCTCACTTTGCTGCTTAGGGTTTAGGGTTTAGGGTTTAGGGTTTAGGGTTTAGGGTTTAGGGTTCAGGGTTCAGGGTTTAGGGTTTAGGGTGATGTGCATGGGACATATCCCTGAGAGTAGTAAATTATTTTACCTCGAACGTCCCCACCCTCTCTTGGTAGAGATACTCTGGCGTTGGGCACTCCAGGTACACTCTGGGGCTGGGCATGGGGGTTGGGCACTCCAGGGAAACTCTGGGCCTGGCCACTCCGGGGACACTCTGGGGTTGGGCACTCCAGGTAACTCTCGGTTTGGGGTTGGGCACTCCAGGGATGAGCGAGGAGTAGACGGGCGAGGAGAAGAGTTCTGGGCGAGGAGAAAAGTTGAGTTAAAATCTAACAGCCACACCCTCGAATCAGACACTAATGGGTCGTCTGCGGACTGGCACCAGATTTCTCAGCCCACTCTCCGTTGGAAACGTAATCGACCCTAAGCCCCGAACCCTGAACCAGTTAACACAGCCTGGAGCTCCACAACGTTATTCTATGGACGACGGCAGTAAAATGAGAGAGCGTAAATACCACCTAAAGATCCCTCAATCCTTGAAGCTGTGAGTGCTCGGCGAACATTTAGGAGTTCAGGGCTTTGGGGCGAAGCCCCAAACCCTGGAAGCCTAAACTCGAAACCCCCAACACCCCAAGGTGGGTTTTAGTAACAATAATTCATGAATAATAGTAAGATGATTATAACAACATAACAATGACAATGACAACGATAATGATAATGATCGACCCGCGGTCTGCCTCCCTGTGCGACGAGCGATGGCTCGCGCCAGGGCTTCCATCCGGCCAGGACCAGTTCGCCAAAGCTCGCCTTCCACAGGGGTTTGGGGCTAAACAAATTGAGTTTAGGGCTTAGGGGTCTAGGGTTGAGGAGGTAGAGAGTTTGGGGGTCGCCTATTGGGGAGTCTGCCAAGGGCTTAGGAGGTCTAGGAGGCTTGAGGATTCAGGGACTTTGAAACGTTTTTGGGGTGCATGGACTCTTCTCGCCCCCCCCCCACCCCCAAAGTGTAAGTGCCGATCCGCCCCTACCCGTAGGGGGCTCAGGGTTTAGTGTAGGAAACCCTGAACCCTAAACCCTAAAACTCAAAACCTAAACCCCAACCCTAAACCCAAGCCTGCAAGCCTGACCCTGTCACTCCAGACCCTGAACACCTTGAACCTCCCACACCCCTTGAGTGGGCGTTTACGAGAACAAGGCACCCCTAATACAGTCCCCCAAATAGAAGGATCCCCCTAGAAACAGGACCCCAAAAAGGTACCCCTCATGTCGCAAACTCCCATATGTCAACCCAAAACCCTAAGCCTCAACCCTAAACCCTAAACCCTAAACCCTAAGCCCTAAACCCTAAACCCCAAACCCTAAACCCTAAACCCTCCTGAAACCCCAAAGCCTAGTAGTTGCCGTTCTCGCATGATAGCGATGGGAAGCGGCTCCTGGTGCAAACGGGGCTTTCAGCTAAAAAGCCGTTTGAACGTGGCAGGGCTGAGAGTTTCAGGGTGCCAGGAGTCTAGGGTCTAGGGTTTGGGGTTTATGCAGGGTTTGGGGTTTAGGTAGGGTTTAGGGCCTTAGGGTTTAGGGTTTAGGGACCACTGGGTGGGCTTTGGCTTTAGCAAGCTCACAGAGCGAGTGCAAACCCAGGATAGCCCGAAGCCCTGAATGCTGAATCTTGGCATGTTCTCCAACAGTCCTTACTTGGGATTATTCTAGGTGGTACCATGATAACATCCCAAGCTGAATCCTTTTCTTGGCTGCTGGATTCGCAGCTGCTCTTCTGTACAGGTGGAGCGCCGGAGCCTAAGGGCATGCTGAACTTCTGGTCGCAGTGCTCTGCAGCACAGGGCTTTGAGAACAGCGGGTCATCCTCCTGGGCTTCCAGGGATTTGGGGGAGTAAGCCCCAAGTTCCCTTCCAAGGTCCGGCTCTCCACGTCGGCACTCATTGGGGTCCTATACAAGGGATTTAGGGTTTAGGGTTTAGTCATGTTTGAGGAAGCAAGCAAAGAAAACAAAAACATCATCTGGCATGGGAATCCTTTGGAAAAGCTAGCGGGCCCTATGCTTACATCCATTGGGCGTGGACCGCCGTGCAGCAGAAGTACCGGCCGGATGGGCTCTTCCATCAGCAGGATGGCGCAACTGCGATCTACAAGATTTGGAACCAGTCCTCAGTAGGGTTTAGAGTTTGGGGTTTAGGGTGGCCCTCTTCTCGTTCAGAAGGCAGGTTCTAAATCAGTTTGAATCCGGGCGCGGGGGTTTACCTCGGCCTCCGTCTACCATAGTTCACCTATAACACAAGACATGCGATGCAGAGTGAAGCAACAGTACCTAAAACCTCAGACTGCGCCTAAGCAGAAGAGGGGCTTGGGCTTGAGATCGGGGGAAGAAGGTCGCTTCTCAAAGAGTAGGGAGATCACGTGTCGAAATTGACGCAGGATGCTTTGCGACGCACATCAGTATGCAGGGCTGAGAGAAAGCTGATCGGACAGGAAACGCCCTTAACCCCAACGCCTAAGCATTCAGTTTAGCAGTGACTGACTTGGCTGCACTCAGGAGGGTAGCTTAAAAACAAACTTTTAGCTGCCTCATTAAGAAACCCAATGAACCCAAAAAGGGTAAAGATCTAAAGTTACGGTAAAGTACCACAAAGACTGAGAGCTAGCAAAGGCGCGAACTGGCAAAGCCATTTCGTTCATCATGTACTCTTCCGTGCCCGCTTTGCACAAGTTGAGGCACAGGTTCTTGCAACCGCCAGACTCTTCAATGAACTTGCACCTTGCTGCGCTTTGCATGACTTGATGAACCAGTGGGCCGGGGGCACAACGTATGGCCTCGGAGCCTGACTCATAATAAAGGGTTTAGGGTTTAGGGTTTAGGGTTTAGGGTTTAGGGTTTAGGGTTTAGCAGCCGTGAACTGACCTCAACCAAGCTTGGGGGGGCTGTAAATATTGCGACAATACTGACTGTAGAGCCATGACTGTTCAGGCTCCCAAACCCCCAGGCCTAACCCTAAACCCTAAACCCTTCCTCTGAGTGCGGCGCTTCTTCAGCATCATGACCCCACTTGGAGCCACGTTCATGCCATCACGTCGGAGCTGCTGGACGAGGGCCCTCTCCTGGAGGTTCGAGGCCAACCTAGGGTTCAGGGTTTAGGGGCTTAGGGGCTAACCCCCGAACCCTGAACCCAGAAGTGCGCTGTGCACACACAAACCTCAACCCTTTTTACAGCAGGTTGCCGGACGCGGACTTTACTTCACAACTTTCTCTTAGCCCGGACGCACCGGCCGAACGGTTGCGGCCTTGAGAATCTGCTGCACTGCACCATGCACGGCCAAAAGGCCAAACAGAAAGGCACTCAGGCAAACGACAGCAAAGCTGTGGCGAAGGACAGGGAGCGGCGAAGGGGCCGAAATGCAGTGCAGGCGTGGGGGTCGGGGGCGGCGCGCGTGCCTACGTGCGTGCCCGCGAGCGCGAGCGCGTGTGTCCCAGCGCTGCGCAGCTCAGAGCAGACAGCCGCGGCCCGTGGGCCGGGCACCACCTCCGTCCAAAAGCGCCATAGCCCCATTATTGCAGCCCCTGAAGGTAAGGACACCCGAAAGGGTAGCAAGACAACTAATAGGCAAGTACCTGAACCCCAAAACACTTTAATCCTCAACTCCTCCTCCTCGGAGAGCACACGGCTCTCCCCCACCAGCCATCTCGAGCCAGCAGATCCGAACGTCGATGCCCCAAACCTGGGCTGAGGGTGTTTTTTCCCGGTTTAGGGGCTCTGGGTTTTGGGTTTGTAGGGCTTGGGATTTAGGGTTTAGGGTTTAGGGCTTAGGGTTATGGGGTTTAGGGGCTACAAAAAGAGCTGACGGGCTCAAAGGGATTACGAAACCCCTTGGACACGAAACCCGCACATCGAAACGCCAGCCCCAATCCTAAACCCTGTATGCCCTACAACGGGCTCCCGCCCCAAGAATCCCCGCAAATTCCCCCTAAAACCCAAAAACCCTAAACCCCGAACCCTGCAAGCCCCCAACTAAATGCCTAAATGCCTCTGAGCAAGCTCTCTGAGTCCCAGACTTCTAGTAGAGAGTTCTACAGACCGGAGGAGGGCTGAGCGTTTCGGGTTTGAGGTTTAGGGGTTAGGGGTTCAGGGTTTAGGGAGCCGCTCAGAAAATTTCGGGAGCCAAGGCCCCAAGCGTTTTTGGGTCCGACTTGTAGGTGGATTTAAGACGGGCGGGTGGGCTCTGTCCGGCGAAAACAATCCCAAACCCAAAGCCCTAAGACCCTAAACCCTAAACCCGGAACCCTAAACCCTAAAGCCTAAGACCCTCAGACCCTCAGACCCTCAGACCCTCAGACCCTCACTGTCAGGAGGTGTTCGCTCTCCGAGTGGCCGGATTGCCCATTGGTGGACCTCCGGCCAATTCTTCAGGGTGTTCCTTGGTCACAAAGCAGGCAAAAAACCCGAGACACTAAGCCTTAAACCCTCAAGACAAAGGAGATAGGAATTGCTGGTAATATCATTGTGAATTCCCCAAGTTGTTTGTCTAAACAGCTGACAAGTTGGCCCCAAAGCGCCTGTGGGAGGCCCCAACAAGCCCCCAAAAGGCTGGGAGGCCTCAAAGGCAGGGCTCATATAGGGTGTCATTTCACCCTGAAGCCGAAACCCTAACCCTAAGCCCCAAGCCCCGAACCCTAAACCCTAAATCTTGGCACCATGAAACACCTGCATCCACAACCTTTCGATCCTACGTCCGGCCTCCTGATGCCTAGACCCCAAACAAAGAACCCCAGAAGCTGAACTCTAAACGCTGAACCCTGTATTCTTGAACCAAAAACCCTGAGACCCTAAACGCCAATACCACCCTTATATCCCCGGTATACCTGCCCGATACACCCCTAACACCCTAAAACCTGAAACTGTCCGGCAAGGTGTCAGCATGCCACGAAACAATGCGGCCAAGGGCGCGGGGACCTCGGAGTTTAGGGTTTAGGGTTTAGCGGGGTTTACCTGTTGGGGATTCCTTCCAAGGTTAAGGGTTAAAGGAAGGTAAGGGTTCATAAGCGTGCGGGGTCTCGGGTTTTGGGGGGTTTTAGGGTGGGGTTTAGGGCTTACGGGGTTTGGGGTGAACAACTTAGAGTTTCAGCGGTCTTTGTTAGCGTTTCGGGTTAAGGCTTGAGAATTCAGATGTTATTGCGGTTAAAGTCTTCTTCTTCTTCTACACGCTTTACCCCTCCAACCTCTCTCTCTCTCCCCGCTCTCCCTCTTTCTGACCAGGTGAGAGGTTGTCCAGTAGCCTAGAAAACTAAGGCTAACCTTGGAGATTATATAGACCCCAAAAAAGGTTACAGCTTTTCTACTACTAAGCAGGCTCGCGACGCCCACGTGGCCACTCGAAAGCTGACCTGCCACGAACGCAGCAAAGCCTTCCAAAGCCTCTGACAGCCCGAAGTAGCCCCAAAATCACCCCAAACAAAAAAAGACAACAACCCTAATAGGCCTAGATAAACCCTAAATTGTTCAGGGTTATTTAGGCCTATTAGGACAGTTTTCGGTTTTGTTTGGGGTGATTTTGGGGCTATCAACACCCTAAACAGACCCAGCTGGGAGATCTGGGAGCGCCACGGTTTCCCGCAAGAGCCGGCTGCCGAACGTGCGCTGGGCGCCCACTGCCCAGTCGGATACAATCTTGGAGTGCTCGATGAACCTCAGTTGAGGGCTTTCTAGGGCTTGGGTTTTATGGTTTCAGGGGTTTAGGGTAAACCCTAAACCCTAAACTGGCCCCAAACTCCAAAACCAACACCCTGAGATTTTGGAGCACGTCCAAGGCGTAGTAGGTTCAGGGCTTGGGGTTTTGGGGTTCGTTGGGACTCTTAGGATGTAGGTGTCAGGTTTTGAGCCGCAGACATACCCCCAAGACCCCCCAAACTCAAGCTTAAACCCTAAACCCGCAAAACCTCTGCTCTTCTCAGGCCAGCATCGCGTCGAGTCCATGTGAAGTTGCGGAGTGATGGGTGATCTTCTCCATCTTTGAAACAATCAAATCCGGGAGAAAAGCTTCAACCTTTTGTGAGGGATTCGGATGTAAGTTTTGCATTGTTTGGAGGTTTCAAGGTTTAAACGGTTCGGCTTTGAGGACCGTCGCACAGGGGATTGAAGGGGCGTGTGGGGTGTTAGGGAGGACTCTTAGGTTCCAGTGCTCTAAATGGTCCCTTCCAAACCCACAACCCTCACTCCAAGCCCAAGAAACCCACAAACGTTAAACCCTGAAGTTCAGACCCTTCGCCCTAGCCCTCTACACCCTACACCCTACACGCTCCACTCTAAACCCTAAACCCGAAACCCAAAACCCTAAACCCTAAACCCTAAACCCTGAGGGCACGGCGAAGATTGCCAACGGATGCAAGGATCCATGGAGCTGCCAAAGGGCAGGATCATCCTGCCCCAAATCTACCCCCTTCGCCTAAACTCCAAAGCCTTAAGCCCTAAATCCCCTAAATCCTTTCAAGTCTAACGCCTATGCATCCTTATAAACCCTAAACAAGGCCGAGCCTGAAAGACTGTTCATGCTGTGGGTTGAAGCTTATTGTCTGGGGTCGGGGCTTGTGTTGCCTCGGGCTTGGGAGTAACGTTGCAAGGGCAGATGGTTTGAAGTGAAAAAGGGTTTAGGGGGTCTTGGGTCAAAGGAACTCACAACCCAAAGGGCTCCTTCCTGGTTCCCGGACCCGTTGGACCCTGGACCCTCAAAATCTGTGCATAATTCTTACTGGAATCAACAACTTTTCCGAACCCTAGATTACCCCCCCCCCCCACAGACTCTAAATCAGAGCTCTGCGAGTCCAAGCGCCTCAGTGCTGGATGCAAAACTTTGGAAACAATTTAAAATGAGTTTAATCCCCAAACCCTAAAAGGAATGGGTTAGGGCGGCGTGGGCTGGGATTAAAGTGTTGGATGGCCCTCCACAATCGGGCAAACTGTTACCCTAAACCCCAAAAGCCGAACAAACACACACAGGGGGTGGGCGGCGCCTAAGCCCTCGACCTCTACGGCGCGCTGATACCGGCCCTCCCGAAATCCTCGCGACCGAGGACTTTCCTGGAAGCCCTCAACCCTAGACATGGCCCTCCACAATCGGGCCAGGGCTGCTCGTCGCATTTCACGAAGCTTTCGAGCCTAGCCTGCATCCCAACCTCCACAGCTTCTGCGCTGCAAACCCTAAACCCTAAACCCTAAACGCTAAACCCTAAACCCTAAACCCTGCGCCCCTCAACCCTAAACCAAACCTCTGAGCTGTAGAGGGCCGTCCTCTGCAGTGGCCGCTTCCTCGTTTGTGGCGGCCGAGGGTCCTCAATTGGTTTACGGTTTTGCGGGGTTGGGGTTCAGGGTTTATGGCTCAGGGTTGAGGGTTTAGGGGCTGGGGTGTAGGGTCTAGGGTTTAAGGTTTTTAGGGTTTAAGGCCGAGGGGGTGTAGGGGTTTAGAGCGGAGTTGAATGGGCTTGTGGTTGAGCAGGTTTTGAGGGGGGGGGGGGGGGGCAGGACTCTCTGTCCTTACCCTTTTACGCAATGAAATGAAGCTCAAGGAGACCGCTACACATGTACTGGCCTTTTAATGCTCGTATAGGGGCATTCAAGGGGTGATTTCCGGCGGCAGGCGAGCTCGGGGTGACAAGAAGCTTACTTTAAAGGGGGCATTTGGAGGCTTACAAGCCAGGTGCTGTTAACCCAAATACATCAGAAAGCCGTTTAATTCGTGGGCTCTTCACATCCTTTACCTGGTGGCGAGGATGGACGAATGCCAAAAAGTCCTCCTAATCGCTTCCCGGAATGATCAGAAGTTGGGGGCTATCTGAAAGCAGGCCTGCAAAGGAGGTTTACGGCTCAGGGATGTCGGGGTTCGCCTTCTTGAGGCTGCAGTCAGGGTTCCGAAGGGGCTTCCTTCCCTCAACGGCGTTAAGACCCATCACCGAACAAAGGCCGAACATGGAGAGAAGAGGGAGGAACTTGACAATTTTTGCAAGTCTGGAGGTCGTCCACGCTGAGGTCATGGCGGGTGTCCACCAAAGCTTGGATGGCTTGCCTGCTGTCCGTACTTCGGCCAGCACACCTGGGAGTTTGGGGTTTAGGGGGTTTAGGGGGTTTAGGGGGTTTAGGGGGTTTAGGGGGGTTTAGGGGGTTTAGGGGAGCTCTTGGATGCTTGTACGTCTGTTGGGTGGGTTTGCATGAGTCAAGTCAAGCATCCTCGTCCCTGCAAACATAGGTAGGCCTTACCCTCAGCACGTCTAAAGGACTCAAGGCCTGATAGAAGCATTCGCACCCGTGCGAAGACCCGAATAGGAAGAACAAGTCGAATCGAACGGCTGCCCCGAACCTGAACCGAAGACCTGAAACCTTCAATCACAGTGGAAAGCGGCCTGGCGGTTGGCCATCTCCTGATCCAACAGCCCCAGCGCCGGTATCCTCGGAAGCCCAGTGAACACCCAGCGGCCAGCAGGACACCGCCTGGCGGTGGCAATTTGCCATACCTGAGCATGGTGCAGGCGTGTTTTGGGTTGAGGTTCTTCGGGTGTACAGGGTTTACGGGGTTTAGGGCTCAGGGCCAAGGGCGTAGGGCTTCTTGTAGGATTTCTGGCTTTGTGGGTTTCCCAATCCTTGAAACCCCGAAGCCCCAAAGCCCTAAAAATGAAAGCCCAAGAGACAGCGGAGCCCGCGGTAGGGAACGTGGCGTTTGCCATGGCGGGCTGGGTGGCTTCCGGCAGAGACTTGAGCAGGGTGCCAGGGAGCCACAGAACTCCATCGCCCAGACAGATTTTGAGGTTTAAAGGGCGTAGACCTGGGGGTTTAGGAGTCTAGTCTAGGGTTAGGGGCTTAATTAGGGTTCAGAGTTAGCTTTCATATGAAGGGTAGCCCCCTATATTGTCCGATTTTCCAGAATTGGCCGCGAGTTCTGTCGCTCCCTCAGGAGCCTAGAGTCAGCAGTCCATCACAGTGGACCTCCTCGCTGACCTGCCCCGTGGGATGATTTGGGCACCCGGGAAAATGCTTGAAAATTGAAGGCCCCAGGGCCTTGAAAGAGTCGTCACGCCTGAGCCACAGCCGCGGAATTTCCCACCAACCTGTTGGGTTTAGGGTTTAGGGTTTAGGGTTTAGGGTTTAGGGTTTAGGGTTTAGGGTTTAGGGTGTAGGGAAGCCTGGAGGCGCACGTCTACTGAGCGTGTGAGCCGAACTTCGAAACCCCTCTGCCCTGAAGGTGTAAGCCCAGGCTCTCTCTCCCTCTCACATCTCCTCTCCTCCCTGGGGGCTTTTGACACTCTTGTACTCCACAAAACCTACACCCTAAACCCCAAAACCCTAAGAAATCCGTGGAATTCCTTCCCGACGGCTGATGGTTCTTTTTTCGTGTTTTTATTGTTTTTTTAGTTTTTTTGCGGTTTTAGGTGACAATAAAGCCCTAAACCCTAAACCCTAAACCCTAAACCCTAAACCCTAAACCCTAAATCCTAAATCCTAAACCCTAAACCCTAAACCCTACTACAAAAAAAACCAGAAAAAACACAAAAAAAACCTGGACCCCTTCCCGACCCTGGCGTCCTCCAAGACGAACTGGGTTGCAGCCTGCACTGCCTCCTTGAGGACCCACAAACCCTAAAAACCCTGCGTCATAATCTGTAAGCCCTATAAATTGGGATGTTCCCCCCTATACTAACAATCCTTAATAGGGATTATAATCCCTATTCAGGTCTGTTAGTGTTAGGGGGAACATCCCAACCCATAAGCCCCATAAACACGATTAATTAAGCCCTATAAACCCCATCAACCCGAAACCCTCTGATCAGAGATGGGTTTCGAGACTGAGGAGTTTGTGGTTTTGGCGCCCCGGGAAACTTCCCAGTTCATGCCTTAGGGTGTCCAGGAATTTAGGGCTTAGAGTTTAGGGCTAAAGATTTAGGGTTCAGTTTAGGGCACAGGGCCTTGCAGCTCTTCCAGATTACACCAAGCCCCAAAAACTTACAACCCTGTAAGCCCTGTAAACCCTACAAACCTTGTACTTGTCTAAAGCCTTTAAACCCCATAAACCTCTCAAGCCTATCCCTATAAACCCTACAAAAGCGTCTGAAGCCTATAAAGCCCATAAACAAGCCTATAATCCTATAACGCCTCCAAACCCTCGAAGCCCTCCAAGCCCTATTGCCCTAGAAAGCCAAAGCCCTCTAAGCCCTATTGAAGCCCTATATGGCCCCGTGAAGCCTACAATGAACCCTAAAGAGCCCGCTACAGCCCTATTGAAGCCCCCAGAAACCCCAATTGAAGCCCCCAGAAACCCCAAAACCTGAAGCCCTCCTCGACTCTCAGCAGCCAAAATCGCCAAAGCGCCGGCCGCTTCTCAGGGTGACAAGAATCTCATTCGACCCTAAACCCCTCTAAACCCCTCTAAACCCCTCTACACCCCTTTAAACCCCTCTCAAACCCTGTCAACCCTACAAACCCCTCCAGGCACCTCTAAGCCCCTTTCAACCCTCCCGACCCCCATAAGCCCCACAAGCCCCTATAAACCTATAAACCCCTGTACACCCCATAAACCCGAAACCCCAGAAACCCAAAGCCCATGCCAAAAACCCCTTCGCCACCTCGGCTTGTGCACCCCGTGGGCCCAAGCCATTTGACATGGCATCCCTGGCCACGATAAGGGCTGGAACCTCACAAAGGGCTTAGGAGGGTTCAGGGTTCAGGGCTAGGGTTTAGGGCTAGGGTTTAGCTACAAGGGCTTAGGGTTCAAGCCTTGGGTTCACCAGCCAGGTGTTTCAGGCACCAGGCACGCCTTTGCCAGACAAATACTGTGAGCCTCAAAACCCTGTACCCCATAAGCTCTACCCTCTAAACCCTAAACCCTAAACCCCAAACCCTAAACCCTACTTCTACACAACAAGGCCTAAACCCTAAACCCTAAACCCTAAACCCTAAACCCGAAACCCGAAACCCGAAACCCTAAACCCTAAACCCTAAACCCTAAACCCTAAACCCTAAACCCTAAACCCTAAACCCTAAACCCTGAACCCTGAACCCTGAACCCTAACCCCCCAGCCCTTAGCCGCCCTTCAAGACCTTGAGTCGAGACTTTGGGTAGTCTTTCGGTTGGGCAGGGGGGGCTTTAGGGTATCGAAGTTGGGCTCACATGGGGTTTAGGGTTTAGGGTTTTTAGGGTTTAGGGTTTAGGGTTTAGGGTTTAGGGTTTAGGGTTTAGGGTTTAGGGTTTAGGGTTTAGGGTTTAGGGTTTAGGGTCCCAACTGGGTTCAGAGGGGTTTGCAGGGTGTCCGGAATGCAGGCAAGGCTCAGGGCTTCAGAGTCAGTGGGCAATGGGGTTTGTGGGTGTTCAGGACCAAATGGTTGACATGGTGGGCCGCAAGAAAAGGACTCAATGTGCTACGGAAGAGCTTGCCATTTAGCATGCTGTTCCGGAGCTTCTTCGTAGTTCCAAGTTAAAAAATGCGTGCGTGTGCGCGTGCGCTCGTGCGTGCGTGCGTGCGTGCGTGCGTGCGTGCGTGCGTGCGTGCGTGCGTGCGTGCGTGCGTGCGTGCGTGCGTGCGTGCGTGCGTGCGTGCGTGCCTGCGTGCCTGCGTGCGTGCGTGCGTGCGTGCGTGCGTGCGTGCGTGCGTGCGTGCGTGCGTGCGTGCGTGCGTGCGTGCGTGCGTGCGTGCGCGCGTGCGTGCGTGCGTGCGTGCGTGCGTGCGTGCGTGCGTGCGTGCGTGCGTGCGTGCGTGCGTGCGTGGGTGTGTGTGTGTGTGTGTGTGTGTGTGTCTGTGTCTGTGTCTGTGTCTCTGTGTGTGTGTGTGTGTGTGTGTGTCTGTGTGTGTGTGTGTTGCAATCAATGCATGAGCTTTCTGCTCTCGAGGCTTCGGGCTTCACAGCTCTCATTTCCATTTGGTTCGTTCTAAGCTTTTTCGTCCCCCACCTACCCCGAAAACCCCTCTAAACCCCTCTAAACCCCTCTAAACCCATCGAGACCCCTCTAAACCCCTCTTAAACCCTGAAAATCAAATAAACCTATCGTGCGCCTGCTGGGTCAGCACGATCGTCAACTCGTTCAACTTCTCGACCAGTGCCTGCGGGAATGGTTTTCCAAGGAGGGCTCGGCACCCTAAACCCTAAACCCTAAACCCATCTAAACCCTAAACCCTAGACCCTAAACCCTGAACCCTGAACACTGCTGAACCCCAAGCCTGCTGAACCCTAAACCCTGAACCTTAAGAGAATTTAGGGTTTCCCAATTATTCGGGGGGCCCTCAAGGTCTAAGCCAAAAGGCAGGTTTAAACCCTAAAGCCTAAACCCTACACTCCAACTTCGAAGTTGCAGCCCCAAGATCCTAAACCCTAAGCGATTCACATCCGCCCAGCGGCAAAACGCAACTTCTCAGAATGAAACAACATTTTTCGGGCTTCCCATACCTGGGGTACCTTTACCTAAACTGGGGGAGGGGGCCCTGGGAGAGGGGGGGACTCTGAGAACGTCTGGGTGAAAAAGGGGCCCAAGTGTTGGGGGGAAAGACTCCGGTCCCAAACATGAATTTTGGATTCAGGATACCTGGTTCATAGTTGGGATAGTAATAAAATTTTAAAATTTTATTCCTTATTGAGTTTAAGTACCCTTAAAAATGTAAAATGTTACCCCACTATGATAAAGATACCAGGTCATAGGCAAACTGTATATAGTACTACTACATGCCTTATAGTTTACAGATAGTTCCTTGCTTAGGGCAAGGGGATCTTCGGGAGGAAGCTCGAGTCTACCAGGGCCACCCTTCGGAACTGGCTTAGGGTTTAGGGTTTAGGGTTTAGGGTTGAGGGTTGAGGGTTTAGGGTTTAGGGTTTAGGGCTGCGCAACGCCTCCAGCGGAGCTCGCTGGAGGGACTTGCCGTCACTCAGCGCCAGCTGCAGCTGGGAGTCGTAGACATCTGCCAGGTCCTCCAGTTCGGAAGCTTTGTCCACGAGATCCTTGCGGAAAGTTTTGACGATGCCAGGGCGTTGCGTGGAGGCCCAAATGCCTAAATGCCTAAATGCCTAAATCCCTAAATCCCTAAATCCCTAAACCCCAAACCCTAAACCCTACATCCCAGCAAATGCAGGTGGCTGAGTCATCTCGGTCCTTGGCACTTTGGCCCACAGCCTCCGCCCAGGGCGGGCAATCTCCACTCGCCTTGGGGGCACTTTTGGAGCTTGCTTGCCTCATAAGGGTTTAGGGTTTAGGGTTTAGGGTTAGGACTTAGGGTATAGGGTTTAGGGTTGGGATGTTCCCCCTTATACTAACAGTCCTTCATAGCACCCCCTATTGTAGGACTGTTACTATAAGGGGGAACATTGCAACTTATAAAGCCCTACATGAAGTGCTCCGATCAGGGGACCCAAATTTAAAAGCAGCCCCCTTTTTGGGGTGGCTTTAGGCCTCATGCCTCAAGTGGCTCCGAAAAGTCTGCAGTGCAATACTGACAATTTTCATCTATTCATATTGGCGATAACGAGCATACTCGAGAAAACTAGTAAAATACAAGCAACAATGGCACATGATGTGATCTTGCTGTCAAATGGAAACAAAAAGCACACGCAGAGGTGAGAGCGAAGCCTCACCTCCTTCAAAAAGCCCAGTGGCCCCGAAAACCTTCAAAGGGGGAAAGCCCAGAGACAGAACTCCCATGTGGTGGAATTTAGGGGCCTCTTTGGTTTTTTCACGCGTATTTTGCGTAGCGTACAACTACTTAACGCTACCACTGAGCCACTACAGAAACCGTGCACGCTTTTTGTGTAGAGGTCGACCATCGACTTCAACAGGCGGTTCGATGAGAAGAACGAGGCATGCTCGTGAGAGGTCGCCATGCAAGCTTCAAACACAAAAAACCCAAGAATGACTTCGAAACCATGTAGGACTGAGCGCAAAAATCCGCAATCAATCGGAGGAGCTCTGAAAAGGGACAGTGGCTCACCCCACGCCGCAGTAGCAGCCGCGTGGGCGGCGCAGGCGGAGGTGTAGGCGTCAGCCAGGTTGCCGCGCAGGAGCCTTCGCTGAGAAAGCGGGCAACCAATCTTCCATCCCTTCGACGTCGGCACTGCCGACGATTTTGGAAACGCTTCAGCGTGGCAATCAGCGCAGTAAGATACTGACAAGACCGTTGTTTAGGAGCACGGGATTGACTTATATCTTTGGTCGTTGAGTCAGACCTTAACATGGTCTTGGCGCGTCTACCGTGCAACATTGAAGCCCATGTCGGGTTTTAGGCTGGAGACGTTTGCCTTCGACTGAACACTAAAACACGAAAACCCTGAACCTAAGAAGCCTCAAGATGATCATGGCATGTCGGTGGCACGCTAGCACCCTTATTGGAGTTCTCGATATCCTCGTAGCACTGGCTGCTCAGCTGATTGGCCGGGTTGCTCAAGGTCGGGAGGTTGATCCACAAGTTCGATGTCGTCCTCCTTCTGCTGCTTGTAGCCCAGAACAGCTGCGGCAGCACTAAGAACCCCGGCCACGGTGGCTCCACCATCCATGAACAGCATCTCCAAACCAGACATCTTTGCCTCTCTTCGATGGGCTCAGAGCCATCATCCTCACTAAATTGGGGCGACTCCTTCGCGCACTCCGATGCTTCTCGGCCGCGGCACGGGAAAAGAACGACCTGCTTGTGGATGATGAGTAAAGACCCCGGGATCATGCTGGCGTCACAAGCAGAAGCACACATACATCGAAGACGCCCGAAACGACCTGAAAGCCCGAAGCCGAGCCAACTTAGCGCCTGTTGTGTTCCTTCCTTGTGCTACTAACAACTTATACGATGTTAGCTACATAATGTAGTAGACTATTGCATCGTATTGTGCTGGTGGAAGATTCTATCCAAATCGGTTCTATCACACGATTACTGTGGTACCAGCAATCCTTCAGCTGCAAGCTCTCTTTCGAACGCCAGAATCTCGCTGTCACTTTCCTTGCGTTTGCCTGCCAGAGTTCCTTTGACTGCAGCAGGCGTGTTTCGAGGGCGTGGTGGCAATGGTGAGACACACGGCCTGTGAATGGAGGCTCTTGGTGCTCATGGTTGATATGAGCCTATAGGGGTCTTGATTGGCAGTTTAAGGGTTTAGGGTTTCGGGTTTAAGGTTTAGGGTGTAGGGGTGTTAGGGGATCTTTGGGCAAGACATGGCGATGTGGCAAAGCTCCTTCTGGCTTCGGAAAAGAGAACGCGTCAACAAGTTCAGGCGCGCATTCATGGCAATGTCCTCGTCCACACCTGGCGCTTGAACTCGGAAAGGTCACTAGGCTACGGCTGCATGTACGGTGGCTGACACATTTAAAGTGACCAGTGCGCCGAAGTGCATTTAGGTTCCTCAGCTGGTTCAGGGCGTGGGGTTTCAACTGCAGTGTGGGAGCGAAGCGCGGTTAACTGTCACCCTAAACCCTAAACCCTAAGCCCTAAATCCTAAACCCTAAACACTAAACCCTAAATCCTAAACCCTAAACCCCAAACCCTAAACCCTCCGTCCTTTCGTGTGACATGCTGCCTCCCCGTCCTCCCAGGTGATGGTCATTGGATTCAAATCCAACCTCGAGGGGTGTGCAACAGGCCCCAGTCAGGGTTCTGGGGTTGGGGCCAAGCTGAGCTTAAACCCACCCAACCCTAAAACCCCTAACCCTAAACCCTAAACCCTATACGCACCCTAACCCTAAACCCTAAACCCTAAACCCTAAACCCTAAGCCCGAAGCCCGAAGCCCGAAGCCCTAAGCGCTAAGCCCTAAGCCCTAAGCCCTAAGCCCTAAAACCAACCGATCCACATGCCGGCGCAACCCAAGGGGCTGATGGCCTAGAGTCCAGAGCATGAAGGATGCCCAAAACCGCTGCAGCAAGGCAAGACATGACATTGGTCTGAAACACAAACGATGGTTTAGGTTGTTTGTCCTTTAAAACGTCTTGACCCCTTCTCTCCAACCCGCCCCAAATCCCTCAGTTAGGGGCCACATATGTCGGGAAACCCCCGTATCAAAAAAGGCCCACCCATGGTTGGGGTGAGCCGCGAACCCAACCCATAACGCACTCACCTTCGAGCCAAGAATCCTTCGAACCCCACCCAAAAAACCTTCTGAAATTCCTCTACGCCCCCCATAAAATCCTTCCCCCCAAAAAAAACAAAAAACCCTAATCCCTAAGCCCTCAATGCTAAAAAATCTCGAAGGCCTCGCAGGTCTCGGGGCGCTGCGAGACTGTCCCAGCGTGCTCTTCGTTGGACAGGATCATCTTGATTTTGTTGGTGCCCGCCTCTCTGGTTGGGGCTTCGTGTCTGGAGTCTGGAGACCCTAAACCCTAAACCCGAAACCCTAAAACCTAACCCCTAAACCCTGAACCTCTGGCAGGGGCCACCTCAGGGTCAAATTTGTAGAAAGAACCTTCGATTTTCTAGGGTGGGGGCCCCCGGCCCCCGGCATGCCAGTTCATGATAGAAGGGTTTAGGAAGTCGGGTGGTAGGAGCTGGGGAAACCCTGTGAGCCCTGAACCCGTCTTAGAAATTTTCGGCTGTCAAGCAGCGCTGTAAGGCGATCTGGTCAGCCTCAAGCTCAAGCATGTCGATGAACCGGTTTAGGGTTTAGGGTTTAGGGTTTAGGGCTGAGGGGGGGCAAAAGAACACGTGAGCAGACAGACATCAGACGGCCGAACAAGCGCTACCACCTCGAGTTCTGTCACCAACTCTTGTGGCAGCTCTTCCGGGCCTCAACTAGAATGGCCCTCAAAATCCTATGATCCTCCTAAACCCAATAAGGGCTTACCTAGTAAACCCTGAACCTTCAACCCCAAGCTCACCGCCCTAAACCCTAAACCCTAAACCCTAAACCCTAAAAACTAAACCCGAAAAACTAAACCCTAAACCTTCAACCCCAAACTCCCTGGCCTCCCACATGGCGCTCGGCTTGTGCTTGTAGCGCGCCTCCCACACCTGGCGCCAAATTAAATGGGGGTTGAGGGTTTAGGGGTTAGGGGTTAGGGTTTAGGGTTTAGGGTACCTGGTTGGGGCCCTACTATTTCGGGGTCTATGTCTGGGGTCCCTGATTTTGTAAGCCCAGCCCTTTCAGGGAGCTTTTTTCGGGAAAGGGTTTAGGGTCCATAAAAAGGGGGGGGGCTTGAGACGTTAGGCTGAAACCTTAAGTCCATGGCCGAGAAGCCATGCTGTTGGCGGAAATCGTGCCCAAGGACATCCTGTCTTCCTCGCGCAGCGCGACAAGGTGTAATCTCGGGTTTCGGGTTTAGGGGTTTAAGGCTTTAGGGCCTGAACAATTAGAAGAGGCCTTTGGGGGTTATTCTGGCATAATTATAAAGGGACCATAAGGGATTAAGGCCCAGGGAAGCGAGGGTTGAGGGTTAGGCTCCGCGACTACTAGTGACGGAATCAGTCGCGGAGCGTCTTGAATTATTATGAATCTAAAGGCCGCAAAACGCCTGTCTAACTGTGTAACCTTGTGAAACGAAACCCTAAACCCTAAACCCTGAGCCCGGTCGTCCAATGCTTTGGGAAGTAGTAGTTCGGTCATCCCAAGCGAAGGAGATGGCCAACTCCAGGGATTATGTTGGGGTAGTTTCCTGTCTCTAAATTATAAGATCTTGGAACCCCAAAGAAACCCTCCTTTTTTTCAGGTGGAGAGCTGCCGATACCTTCATCCAACTACCCAAACTACAAAGTTGCAAATTTGTATTTAAATATGCCCAAGAACGCTCCCCCAGAAGCCGAAACGTGTAACTGTACCTCCTGCAGCTATACTCCCCTTAGAACCTCAATAACAAAAATGTTTTTGAATATCCTCTTGGGTTTTATGTAAACAAAAGCCTAAACCCTAAACCCTAAACCCTAAACCCTAAACCCTAAGGGAGATATAGGCAGTGGGGGGTCGGTCCTTTCGTGTCCAATGCCCTCGGAGGCGGTCCATCAGCCCTCCCGAGGTCGGCCTGAAACCCGCGAAGCTTTGGGGGGTAGAGGGAATCATCCCAAGCCCATGAACCCCCCCCCCCCCCCCTAAGTCGTAAACCCTAAACCCTAAACCCTAACCCTAAACCCTAAACCCTAAACCCTAAACCCTAAACCCTAAACCCTAAACCCTAAACCCTAAACCCTAAACCCTAAACCCTAAACCCTAAACCCTAAACCCAGCCGGCCGGCGCAATCTGAACGAGGAGCCCTTCAAGCGTGAGCGGGCATTGTAGGTGTGGGGGCTGGTCCTTATCTAGGGACCCTGTTTTACTTTCTCGCTTTCAGGGGTCTCCAGTGACCACAAAGGTCGGTCTGGGTTCGACAACCCACCTTTGCGGGAGGTCCGGCCTGGGATGTCGCCGCTGAACCTGAAACAGGAAAAGGCCTCATTTTGGCAAGTTTACCAGTGAAGACGCACGAGCCCACAGCTTTCCCGAAAGTGAGAAAGCGGGCAGAAGCCCGAAATTTTGAGAAGGAATGGAGTTGGGTGGACCCCTGCACAAGCAGGGCCTGGCAACAAACAAGCCAAAAAGCGATCTGGCTGATATAGTATCCTGGTCAGCAATATGCCGTAAACCCTAAACCCGATCTACTCTACGCCCTCTGTACCTGTGCTGGAAGTCTTGAGGGTAGGGTTTAGAGTTTAGTGCCAACCTGACACCCCAAGATTCACACACCCAAGGGTTTAGAGCTCACAGGAATCAGGGTTTGGGATTCCCCTAAACCCTAAACCCTAAACCCTAAACCCAAAACCCAAAACCCAAAACCCAAAACCCTAAACCCTAAACCTTGGGGGATGTAGGTTCGGGTTCGAGAATTGTCTGGCCGAGGCTGCCACACGGAGGGAATTTTCTCATCAGTGGCAATCTGCACAGTCCTGCCATGACATCTCCTAAGCCCTAAACCCTAAACCCTAAACCCTAAACCCTAAACCCTAAACCCTAAACCCTAAACCCTAAACCCCAGACCCTAAACCCTAAACCCTAAACCCTAAACCCTAAGAGCTTGGGCTGGGACACTAAAAAAATGCCGAACCCTGAGTAGCGCGCACACCCTCCACAAAGGAAAGCTTTCGCCCTCCTTCTGCGCGGCCAAGGCTTCTTGTTGTTGCAGGGGTGGTGGTGGGGGGGAATTGAGCTTACAAATAGAAGCTGCACGTGCAGAGGCCCCAAACGGTTGATTTCTGGGGGAGGGTTTGGAGTTTAGGGCTCACGAGTTTTAGAGGCTTTGGCGGGCCGGGGAATGGAGCTTTCGCAGCTCGAAAGGCCTTCTTTCTGCCCTTTGAATGTCTAAACTCGACCTCTTCCGCCCAATGAGAGTCGTAGTGAGAGGATACTGCGCACAATTCTGGCACCGTTGTAGATCCATGCTGATGTCGCCCCTAAACCCTAAACCCTAAACCCTAAACCCTAAACCCTAAACCCTAAACCCTAAACCCTAAACCCTAAACCCTAAACCCTAAACCCTAAACCCTAAACGCTAGACCCGACTGTCCCTGGGTCGTCGCGCAGCTCGTCTGCGCAACCTGGTCAAGTTGCAAGCGCACCGACGTTGGTGGTTCCGACATTGGGGTACCTGCTTTTCAGGGGATCCTAATATTTGGGGTCTAAATTCAAGGGGATCCTACTATTTGGGGTCTAAAGTTCAGGGCATCCTACTATTTGGGGTCCCCCTCTTTGGTAAACCCGGAACAACACAAGAGACTCCCGAACCCTTTCATAGGCTTTGGCTGCACGTTCTCGGTTTCTGGCTCCATGTGTTGTAGAACGCTCCCCCACGCCAAAGAACAAACACCAAGGGCCATGCACTTAGGGCAGCTCCTTTGCAATGGGAACCCGGGTTGAGGGTTTCTAGGGTTTAGGGTTTAGGGTTTAGGGTCTAGGGTTTAGGGTCTAGGGTTTAGGGTTTAGGGCTCAGGGTGCAGGGTTTTGAGCCCTTTCGGCGCTGAGGCCCCGGGCATGTCTGACCCATCAGGCTCCAGGCAGTCGAAGCTGCTTCGGCGCGGCTGGCATCCACCTTACGTGTGGCTTTTGCTGGGTGCTTCGCCACAGAATCGGGGGGGGGTGGGGGGGGTAGGGGCCTTAACAATTAGTATAGGCTTTTGCTTTTGGGGAGGGTACTATGGTATAATTACAAAGGGACCGTAAGGGAATACCATTATTAGTAAGTAGTCCGACCCCTAAATTACCCCCCCCCCCCCCCAAAAAAAAAAAGGAATCCCCTGTTTACAGGGTAATCCTAAGCCCCGTCTTGTGGGAAACTGCCAGTTATCCATCGCTCAAATCATCCCTGGTGGGCTACATCAAAGTCCTCTCCGACTTCTGGATACGGTCCTGTATACGACAGAGACAGCTTGGGCGCCTGATTGCAGGGACTTCTGCCAAACCATGCAGTACGACTGCGGGAGTAAGAGAGGCCGCACGACCGAGCCCAGTGCAGGGTGAGAGGCTAGGCCGGAAGTTCGGAAGGGTGGAGGCAAGCAAACCCTGGACCCTGCACCCTAAACACCCTAAACACTAAACCCCAAACCCTAAACCCCAAACCCTAAACCAACCCTAAACTCTACAACCCTAAACCCTGAACCCTAAACCTAAAACAGAAGAAAGAAGCTGTGCAGCTTGTTTCCTCTGTTTAGGGTTCAGAGTTCAGGGTTTAGGGTTTGTGCTTTGGGGTTCGTAGAACCATGGGCTCGCTGGCCTCGTGGGAAAAACGGCTAGCTGGGCTGGGTGGAATGAGAGAGCTCCGACTGAAACCCCCTCAAACCCTAAACCCGCTGAGCCCCACGAAACTGTTGGGGGGGGGGGGGGGTGAGGCTTCCATGGGACAAGGAATAAGCGCCCTCGAGGTTTTCCCTCGGATTTAACACCCAGTTTAGGGTTCGTTTTGGGCAAAGGTCCGCCGGAACAAGGGGCAGCCCTAAACCCTAAACCCTATAAACCCTAAACCCTAGACTCTAAACCCTAAACCCTAAACTCTAAACTCTAAACCCTAAACTCTAAACCCTAAACCCTAAACCCTAAACCCTAAACCCTAAACCCTAAACCCAGTCGCCAAAGGTTTTCAAGCTGAGTGCCACGCGCCGAGAAGGGCAGAGAGCCAGGTGCTTGAGCCGCCAAAATTTTGCAAAGATTGGGGGGGGATCGGCTCCAGGGTTCAGGGAGTCAGATTGCCAGCAAGGTGTGAGTTCACCTCAAGAAAATGCACCTGGGCCGCATTCCTCTGTTGCTTAGGGTTTAGGGTTTAGGGTTGAGGGTTTAGGGTTTAGGGTTTCGGGCTTAGGGCCCTGGAATGTGCTGGCGGCTCTTTTATCGCCTTGGCGAAACCTGCCAGAGTTCCTTTGACTGGAGCAGGCGGTTTGAGGACGTGGTGGCAACGGTGAGACGGCACGGCCTGATCTGCGATCTGGGGCTTGGGTCCTTCGGACTAAGTTACTTTAAGGTGCTCAAGGTCTCAGTTTGCGTTGCACAACACACTACTCAAGGAAAGTGTGTAAGGTGATCTAGGTCTCAGTAGGGTTGTGTAGGTTGTAGGGTTCTAGGGATCTTAGTGCAAGATCTGGCGAAGCCTCTTCAGGCTTCGGTAGAACAATCGTTGCACAAGCTCACATCTCGCAGAGCTCGTGGAAAACAATAAGGCCAGCCGCGCCCGTTCATGATGGTGTTTTGGTCCATACCTGGCGAGGATAAACCCGAACCCCTCTGTTCTACCATGAATCTGCAAAATTGAAGCAGTGTGCAGAGCAGTGTCTCGAGGCTCTCTCCAGTCTACAGCCGTACAGGAACTATCCGGCACATGCAGACGGGCAACTAAACCCTAAACCCTAAACTTGCCCTAAACCCTTCACCCTAAACCCTAAACCCAAAAACCCTAAACCCTAAACCCGAAACCCTAACACACCACCGAACGCCTGGGAAGGAAGGGCAACTTTGCAGGCCATGCTGCCTCCCCGTCCTCCCAGAGGATCGTTATTGGATTCTCGCTCAACCTGGAGTGGCTGTGGGCTTAGGGCTTTTGGTTCAGGGTTCAAGGTTTCGGGTTTAGGGTTTAGGGCTTAGGGCTTAGGGTTTAGGGTTTAGGCGACAAGCATGCCAAGATCACAAGAGAAACGTGCGTTGCCTGACTTCTTTGCTGCAGTCTCTCAGCAAACCCCATGTACTAACATCTGTACACCTCGTGGCAGAGATGAGGGGAAGCCCGCTCCATGAACGACCACGAAAGCAAGGCCCGTCCTCCTGCAAAGTCGCAAGCGGCCTGTATACAGGCCCGCGGCTTCTCAAAATCTATCGCCTCAGATGCCCGTGGCTCAGAACTGGTCTTTCACGGCCTTCACGGGGGTGGCTTTCACATCATCTTCTTTCCGGCCTTCCTGGCCGGCTTCGGGTCTTGATCATGACGAGTCCAGCACAAACTTGCCCGTCTTCTTCACCTCCGTGTCACGTCTTCTTCATGCCCGTGCTCTCGGCCACCTGGCAATGGCACTCTTCGGCATGGCGCGGCCTTCATCTTCATCACCTTCATCACCCTCATGCTCTTGGCTGCTCCCGCCTTCATTGCCTTCATGGGGGCCATGGCTTCCAAGCTAGGGAGATCACAACACTACGGAATCTGAGCCTTTCTGAGGGGGAGGCACTTAGACTGAAGTACTGTCCTCAGCCAAGCGCTCTGTGCGTTTTGATTGCGTCCTCGGGATGTTACATCTTGCTGATCGCCCAAGTACAAACCAGGCTGCAGTTTGACTCTGGCAGCTTTGCCGCTGAGCCGGCTGGTGGACTCAAAGCCAAAACCCCCAAACCCTAAACCCGAAACCCTAAACCCCAAACGCCCCTCATAGGCGAGAAATGCAAAGCTGGGGCTGTTGCGAGACCGTTCCAGAGTACTCTTTGCCGGCCAAGATCATCTTGACTGTCTCAGGGCCCGCCTCTCTGCTTACCATAGGCCCTAAACCCCGAAGTGGGGATTGGGACTGGGGTTTTCGGAATTCCTAGACCGAAGAGTAACCCAGGAATGAAGAGGGTGCCCTTTCTGGTTTAAACGGGCTTAGAAGGAGACCCAAACCCCAAAACAGGGAATATGGGCCTACTCTTGGTCCTACATTCTGGTTTGGCATGGCTGGGCGCGCTGGGGGGAGGGGGGGCGTCTGGAGGTTTGCAGGATTGTAGGGGTGCCGCTTAGGGCTCAGGGCTTAGGCTTCATGGGCGTTTCAACAATACAATTCCGCCGTACCGCACCGAACCGTTACCGTACCGCACCGAACCGTGCAGGAAGCTTACCGTACCGCACCGAACCGTGCAGGAGGCTTACCGTACCGCACCGAACCGTGAACCCACTCTCCAGCCACCCACCCCCCCACCCTGCTACCCACCCACCCCTTCCACCCACCCTCCAGCCACCACTCCCTCCAGCCACCAAGCCTCCAGCCAGCCACCACCTCCAGCCACCCCCTCCAACCTCCAGCCACAACCCCCTGCAGCCACCCACCCTCCAGCCACCCAGCACACGGTCTAAGGTTTAGGGATTAGGGTTTAGGGTTGTGGGTTTGGGGTTTTAAGTGTTGGGTGGTCGGAGCGCTGTAGAGTGTGCATGGCTGTTGTGATGCCTGCAGGATGGCGGCTGGAGGGTGTGGTGGCTGGAGATGGAGGGGGTGCGTGGCTGGAGGGTGGGTGGCTGGAGGGGCGTGGTGGCTGGAGGGGTGGCTGGACGGTGTGGGTGGCTGGAGGAGGTGGCTGTGGAGGGGTGGGTGGTGGCTGGAAAATTGGCTGGGAGGTGGCCTTGAGCGGGTGGCTGGAGGGTGGAGGTGGGTGGCTGGACTTGGTGGCGTGGAGGGGGGGGGTGGTGAGTGGGGGCAGGGCTGGAGGGTGCTTGGGGGTGCTGGGGAAGGAGTGGAGGTGGTGGCTGGGCGAAGGGTGGAAGGGGTGGAGGGGAGGGGGGCCTGGGACCGCAGTACCGAACCGGACCGTGCAGTGCAGTACTGAACCGCACCGTGCCGAAAGCAAGCAATACCACGCAATACATACCGCAGCATACCGCTGCAAAGCAATACCGTACCGTACCGATATTAAACAGCCATGAGGCTTATGCTCGCGGCCCTCACTAAAACACCACCCTCGCATGCGAATGATTCATCCTAGTGATAAACATTGTTGTCGTCGTCGTAGCAACGGTATTACTGGACATATTGGCAATAACAGTAATCATGGCAATAAAAATCGGAAGAGTGGCAATAATGGTAGTCATCGCAAGAGTGGTGGTGTCAAATACTGATACTGATCCTGGTTCTGAGCATGCTAGGTGAGAATGACAATTCGTAACGCCAACTAGTCAGCCGCAAACCGGTCACATATTTGTGACCAATGATCGTTATTTTGCTACGACCTCAGGGTTTTGTCAAGACATGTGAGTTCACTGCGCCTGCCATGGCTTTCTCCACTTTTGGGGGCCGAGTCCCCAACACTGGTGATCAGCAGCACGCAGAGCACAAACGAACGACCAAGAGAGAGCACGAGCCTGAGGCCCTCAAAACCGGGAATCCATCGCCTAACCCTGCTAATTACACTCATGCCCTCCTACCAAAGTTAAATCCGACAATGAACCGTAACACCCCCCTGCAACCCCGATACCTCGAAAAGTAAACTCCACAAAGTTGGAACATCCTTATTCCCCAAACCCAACAAGGTACAATAAAGGGAATCCCAGCTCTAATCATCCTGAAGCCATGTTCCAACTTTCCAGCTCTAACCATCCTGAAACCATGGTCCAATTTTCTGGAGGTTACGCAATGTAAACCCTAAACCCTAAACCCTAAACCCTAAACCCTAAACCCTAAACCCTATCTCCTTAAACCCTGAACCCCAAGCAGCTGGCCTCCCACATGGTGCTCGGCTGGTGCTGGTATGGAGACTCCCAGTCCTGGTTCCAATCACATAGGGGCCTTAACAATTGGAATACGGTTTAGGGTTTAGGGTTTTGGAGGTTATTCTAGTATAAGTATGAAACCATAAGGGAACAGTATTAGTAATTATTCCGACTCCTATAGTAGGTTTAGGGTTGAGGGCGTCTAAGGTTTCGGGACTATGGGGCCCCAGGGTGTTCTCAATTACTGAGGGTAAATACAGGAAGATGATACAGGATGGATTTCACAAGGGTTTAGGGTTTAGGGTTTAGGGTTTAGGGTCTAGGGTTTAGGTTTTGGGGAAGTGCGTGTCTGAGGGAAGAAAGGGCTTTACCTTGGTTTACGAGCAGTCCTTAGTCGGTATTCTGGTGCCCCCGGTTATTAATCCTACTAAGGGCTGCGAGAAAAAAGGGGGCACCCTAACTCCTCGACTCCTGAACCCTAGAACGAAGTTCGAAGGCCATGTGCCTGCCCGAAGCCCGTCGCGCCGAGCACATGCTCAGTTCTCCAAACGTCTCGGGTGCTGATCATGACACGGCGCTTTGCATCTAGGGGAACTATGCAGGGACCCCTAAACCCTAACCCTAAACCCTAAACCCTAAACCCCAAACCCTAAACCCTAAACCCTAGCCCTACACCCCAAACTTTCATTCCATGCCCCAGTAGCCATGCTGTTGGCAGAGATCGTGCCCAAGGCCATTCGGTCCTCCTCGCAGGGGGGCTTCTTGATGGGCCAGCATCCTACCCTGAACCCCTGAAAAGCTTCGAAGACTCTGCGCAATCTCAGTAAGCCCCTGAAAATTTAAATGACGATGCAGGTCCCAGAGCAAGTAACCCTAAACCCTAAACCCTAAACCCTAAACCCTAAACCCTAAACCCTAAACCCTAAACCCTAAACCTCCAGGGAAAAAGTGACTCTCGGACCCCGGCCCGGAGCCCTGCAATCCTAGACTGCCGCAGGAAACCTTGGCCCCGCAAAAGGAAGCCCTCTAATGCTTCCTAGGACCCAGGACCCAGCCCACACTAAGCTTCCTTGGAACCCTGAAAGGGTTTAGGGTTCATATGCCCTGAATAGGGATTGTATTAGTACAGGGTATGCTCAGAACTCCGCCCACAATCACCTTTAATACGCTGTTCCTGAACAACGCTAAAGCGCTGTGAAGCACGCACGTGTGTCTAGCAAATGCACATCTTAAAAACTAGACATCGGCATACAGATATATACATAGATGGATGGAAGATACGCTGAGAGAGGGGAACAAACTCGACCCAAGAGTGACCTAGGAATGAACCGTCCAAGAGTGCCTAGGAAGACAACAGGTATTGTCGGTGTGAAGAACCCCCCAAAAGGTAGCAAAACCTACTCTGGGTCCTAGCAAAGGATCCATAGAGTAACCACAGGAGACCGTCCTTTCGAGTCCAGTGCCCGCGGAGGCTGCTCATTAACGTTCCTGGGGGCCTTGTTTCCAGCCGGAGGGGTTTAGGGTTTAGGGTTCTGGGTTCAAACCATCTAGGCCCAACCGTGCACTTGTAAGCCTAAACCCTAAACTCTAAACCTAAACCCTAAACCGTAGCTGAACCCCACTTCTCAACAACCCTCTGCCTGGCCTTGGAGGTTGAGGCGTGATTTAAAGTGAGGCCAGGCTTCCGGGTGTATCGAGTTTGCAGGGCGTAGTTGATCGTCAGAAATATGCACAGGCCTTGTAGGGATTTAAAGGGTGTTTTCAGGGTTCTTTGGGATTTCGTCTAGCCAGGGCAGCCAAGGCCGTCACGCAGTGGATGCCGGTACGGAGACTGTCAAAGTCCTGGTGCCATGAAAGCTCATCCAAAAGGATAGCCATCTAAACTTGGGATGCTCCCCCTTATACTAGCAGTCCTTAACGGGGATTCTAGTACCCCCTGTGGAGAATCCCTATTCAGGACTGTTCGTGTAAGGGGGAACATCCCAAATCTAAACCTGTAAGCCCAGAAAAGTCTCTCTGGGTCCTAGTCAATTCCCCAATCGGGACGATGGGGCAGCAAAAGCCGAAGATAAGGGCCTTAATAGTCAGAGTAGGATTTTGGGGGTGATTCTGTTAATATTTATACAGGGACCATGAGAGAATGTAGTACTTATTCCGACCTGAATATTAGAAACCCTGAAACCCTAAACCCTGCAGCCTAAACTGCCCTAAACCCTAAAACCTAAACCCTAAATCCTAAACTCTAAACCCTATTAGAGAGGCATCGTTCCAGTCAACGATGCTCATGACCCCTGTGGCTGTCCCTGGGGTGTCGCCCGGCTCGTCTGCACAACCTGGGTTTAGGGTTTCGAGTTTAGGGTTCACGTGCGCGTGCAGCGTTCTCTGGCTTCAGCCAAAGCCTGATTCGAAGCCTTAGGGGGTTTCCAGTCATGCACCAATCTACACCGTGAGCTCTCATGATAGACGGTCTTAACGCCTTTGCGTGGCAGAAGGGCAGGACGAAGCCCTTATAAACCCTAAACCCTAAACCCTAAACCCTGAACCCTGAACCCTGCACCCTAAACCCTAAACCCTAAACCCTAACCCTGGTACCGAGGCTCTGGCATGTCTGCCCCATCAGGCAGCACACGGTCGAAACTCAAAACTGCTTTGAAGCCACTGGCATCTGCCTCAGCGCGTGGGGGAGGGGGGGTTTAGGGTTTAGGGTTTAGGGTTTAGGGTTTAGGGTTTAGGGTTTAGGGTTTAGGGTTTAGGGTTTAGGGGTCGGGTTGAGGAGTTTGTGACCAGTACTGGGCGATAAGTTGGAGCCTCCGACCAGGGAACTCTCTCTCTCTCTCTCTCTCTCCTGATGTTGACCCAAGTCTCCAAAGGTTTCGGGTTTCGGGTTTAGGATTTATTGTTTAGGAGGACACTCAGAGCCAGAAGAGTTCTGCCCGCAGGCGCTGAGGGGCGGGGGGGGGGGTGTAACAACTACTGTATGCGTAAGAACCGACAAAACGTGAAAGATAATAGTCCTTACATTACCCTTTTAAGGAAGAATATTCTTTGGGGGGGTTCTTCAACAAATAGTAGAGCACAAGGGCAGCAAGGTTACCCAAGCTGAGCACCCGACGCAAACAAGGGCAAACAAGGGCAGATGGCCAGGTGCTTGAGCCAGAATACAGCGATTTCAGCGCTCTAGGGGTCCCCCATGGGTTCAGGGATGTTCAGTAGGAGCTAAGATTACGGGGACCTTTGGGAATATAGACCCTCTCAATAAGGTCCCCGTTAAGAGGCCCAGAAGTAGTGGGAAGGAGGGTCCCTTTTCAGGGATCCCCCTTCAGGGATCTCCCTAACACTACCTAGGATTCAGGGTGACCCACCCCCGACTTCACGAGAACCGTCGCCCGGCTTGGGGGGGCACTTCGATTTTTCTTCTCGCAACGCGCGGCGGGGCGGGGCCTCTGCGCGCAGCAAGGGGAAGCGGTGGGGCCTGGGGCATCCTGCGCTTCTCGATGCTCGGCTTCTGGAAGTACTTGGGCCGCTCCTCCAGATGCTGGGGGGGCGTGGATCCTCCGCTATCGGTATGTGCCTCGGGTTGATGCACCAGTTGCCGCGACGCATCGCGTGCTCTTCGATCTCGGTGGCGGTCAGGAGCTGTCGCCCTGTAATGCCTGGAGGCGCGCAGCCTCCTCGAGGGCGTCGCGGAACTCATTCAAACCTTGACAGGGCGTCGTATGGGCCCCAAGTAAAAGGGACAAATTTGGGCGGAGAAAGGTGGCTCGACCAAGGGGCAAGGCTTAAAAGGCCTAAAGGGCCGAGCTTCGGATGCCGAGCATGTCATTTATTGCTGCCACATGTCGGGCTACAGTGATGGTGTCTGTCTCAGCTTAACTACAGCGCAGGCACTGTGCGGATGCTGCTGACGCTGGCCCACGCAGTCTCCAGTAACGGACACCACTCGGTCAGAAGCGTGTCCCATGCTCTTCGTTAGGATATGGCAGCTGGTCACCTTGGCAGAGAACGCGCTAAGCCCCGCGAGAGCCTGAACCTTTCGGGGCTTCTGCCTCTTTGGGTTAAACGCTTGGGGTTTTAGGGTTTTCGGGTTTAGGGTGTGGGGTTTAGGCTTAGGTTGCCTTGGCAAGGACATCAAGCACCGCGTACTCTGCGAGCATCTGGGGCTCCGTCGCGGCGTGGCTGATGCCCAGAACCTTCGCAGCCCCCCGGAACAACTGATAGCAGCCAGTACATGGATCAGGGCTTTGGGGTGAGTTGATGGGGTTCATGAAGCCTAAAACTCCTCATCACCATCGCAAAGCTTGTCGTTGAAATGGCAAACGTTACTTCCAGAGTTACACTTTAGCACACTTTGGCATTTCAACCCCAAGCCCCTACGCACAGAGCCCCCCCCCCCCCAAAAAAAAAAAAAAAAAAACCTGACCCTAATCCACCACCCTAAGATTAAAACAAGTAAAAAAAGAGAGCTGACCCTAATTCACCACCCGAAGATCAAACAAAAACACAAAACTGACCCTGATCCACCACCTGAAGATCTTCAAGCCCCAGGGGCTTCCAGGAAGCCGCTGAAGAGCCTCGATTACGAGCTTTGGTTCATTTGGGCAAGGTCTGGTAGGCTTTGCGAGCTTCAGGGAAGGGGCTGACCCAAGCCCGCAACCCCGAAACCCCGAATCCGGAAGCCGAAAAATGGCCCAAGGACCGCTGCCGCAAAGGCAAAACCTAACGTCTCTACATCGTGGAAGGCTATCGGCATCAAGGTTACAGAAGAGGTCTGAGATTGATTGAGATCGCGCTGGTAGGGGTTTGTGGGCTTTGTTGGGATCTAGGCACGACCCCGAAGCCTAATAAAGGGGTGGGAATAATTGCGAATCATATTCACTTATGGTCCCTTGGTAATCATACTATACTGTAATACCCCCCCCCCCCCGAAACCCAATCTAACTATTCAGGCCCCTATGTTGCACCAGAAACCTGGCGACCCCGAACCTGAACTCCAAAGACCCGACAAGTGAGCTGATCCGAACACCCTGCAACCATGCGCTGCACAGTGATTCTGTCGCGGCGGCTTGCTATATGCCATGTGTTAGATATTGTATACTGTATATATATATATATATAATACTAAACTCCCCTTAACTGCATTTAAACGATGCCTATATTTCCATAGATAGTGCTACTGCCGACGCCAAGGAGCATGTAGAGGGACAGCAGGATGCTGCTCAGTTGCAGCCCCTCGAGATGCTGGGGGCCCTTCAGACGGAGGAGCACCTGGTGAGGAGTTTGGGATTTACTCGGCTTGGTTCCCCAGAACGTAAAACGCTTGCGAGCCGCCGTCGGCAGAGCTGGTGAAACGAACTTAAACCCCAAACTCGGGATTTAGGGCTTCGGCTGCCCACGCGAGATCATAAGTTTAGCAGCCCCCCGTCAAGCCGCACACCTCCCTTGTAAACCCTCAACCCTCAACACCATGCCCTTTCAATTCGCAAGGTTTAGGGTGTAATTAAGGTTTAAGAATTATAGGGTTTCGGGCTTAGGGTTTGAGGTTATGAGGGTTTGAGGTTATGAGGATTTGGGCTTTCTAGGGCGCCTGGAAGGAGGCGGCGGAGATGCAAAGCGTCGCGGGCGCAAGCAGCCCGCAGGCCACCATCAGATTGTCGGCCCAGATGGCGGCCCCCGCCTTTTAGGGATTTAGGGTTTAGGGTTCAGGGTTTAGGGTTTAGGGTTTAGGGTTAGGGTTTAGGGTTTAGGGTTTAGGGTTAGGGCTCAAGGTTTGGAGACTGAGGAGGTTGAGTGGGCTTTGGACGGGTTTCGGGGGCTGAGGGTGTAGGAGGTTAGGAGGGTTTTAGGGGTCCAGTGGGTCAAGGAAGTTTAGGGTGTAGGGTGTTTAGGCCTCATTATCCCTAGGGCCTGAACACTGAGCTGTCAAGGGTTGACGGAGGTCCAGAGCCTCCTAAACCCTAAACACTAAACTTTGTGGGTTTTTCTTGTTCCAAACCCTCCGTTTATGGACCCCCCCCCCCCCCCCCCCCCCCAAGAAAATCGCGTCTCCGTTTTGGGGTGCCACCCCCCCACTTGGAAGAGCACGCCGACGACGCAGAACCTGCTGACCCTCTCGACCACAGCTGGCTGCTGCGAGGCCGTGCCCAGTCCTCGCAGCCTGGGCTCTTCTTCTAACAACTCCCCTAATCCCCAAACTGCAAACCCTAAACCCCGAAACCCTAAAACCCCAAACCTTAAACCCCGAACCCTAAACCCCCAACCCCAAACCCCAAACCCTAAACCCTAAACCCTAAGCTGAAGGAGGGCCAGGGAACCAGATGGGGAGGATGGCCCAGTCTTGCAAGAACCGCGCGGCCAGGAAGGGTGAGGAGATGGGCAGGGACAGCGCCAGGGGATGCAGATGGTGCACCGCTTCCGCCGCACACCTATACTGAATCATAATGTTTAGCTGCTTTCTTTAGGATTTATAGTACAAAAAAATAGAAGCACAGCTATACTGAACTTGGCAACCCCGGCAAAAATCATCATTGTAGGTGTTTCTTAGGAATCATCTTACCCAAAAATGGTCATGTTAGCTGTTTCTTAGGAATTATAGTGCCCCAAAACCAGACATCATTCCCAAGTATCCCCTAAGACACACGGCCAGCTGAGCTGCGGCCGAGGTGGACAGGACCTTGGCAGCACAAGTGGCCACCACCTGCTCCTCGTTCTGATACTTCTGCGCGCGGGAGGAGATGACTGCCGAGCTGGCCAGCATGATGCCCAGGGCTCCCCAGGCCTATACTGAACTTGGAACCCCAGCAAATGTTATTATTATTATTATGATTATTATTATTATTATTACTATTGTTTTGTGATTTTTGCTGTTTCTTAGGAGTTATAGTACCCAAAAATTGAAAATTATTTCCAAGTACCCCTGAGAGGCTACAGGGTCATAGCTCAGAGTAGCCATGCCTAGGGCCAGCTGTGACGGTATCTTCACCCCCATGAAGCTCGTAAGGGCCTTTGTAGGCGCGGCCCAGGCGCAGAACCAGAGCCCTTCCCAGCCCACCACCTCATCCTCCCCCCGAGCTACGGTGCCGAGAAGGTCCCGGGCCAACACCCGTAGCGCATCACCCAGGCGCCCGAAGCACGACTCGGGAGGCGGTCTGGCCATGGAAGCTGAGAATGAGAAGACGAAGCCCTTAGCTCGTCCTTCCCTGCATACAAGACACATTCCAAGAAAGCAAAACAAAATTGCAAACCCCGAAGCCCCATACAAAAATGGCATTCATAATTGGAATAGGTGTTGGGGGGAAAGCAGCTAGCATTAGTTTCCGACCCCTATTATCATCCCTTCCTGCTACCCCTTAACTTTCTTAAACCTTAAAAACCCCTAAGCCCTAAACCCTCAAAACCAAACAATCCTAAACCCTAAACCCTAAACCCTTAAGGCTTATGGTGCCTGGAGCCCGAGCCAGCTGGCTCCGAGAGGTGCTACAGGTGATTGAACGGAGATTTTTTTGTCTCTGAGGGTACTGTTCAAAAATCATCATGTTTGTTCCTTATTGGGATTAAGTATACAATAAACATGTAGCATGATATTGAGCAATGACCCAGTTGTTCTTTTTGGGCCGGGGGGGGGGGGGGGGGATGTTTACAAGGTTTTCTTAACAATTGTGTTTGCAATGGGTTTTGGGTCGGTGTTCACAAGGCTCTCTTGAAAGTTGGGCTTCAGATGGGTTTGGGGTTTATGTATGTTACAATGTCTATACTCCCCTTAGAACCTCAACAGAAATGATATTTTTAGTATCTTTGGTTTTATGTAAACAAAGACATAAAATAATTCCCAGGGGGGATATATACATATATATATATATGTATATGTATATATTACAAGGTTTTCTGAACAATGCAGTTTACTGATTCTGCAGGGCTGTGCTGGTGTTGTTACTTGGGAGGGCTTTAGGTGTTCTGGGCCCAGAAGGAGTTTGCATCTAGAGGCTTCGTGGCGGGCTGAGCACGTCTTTTTGCCATTTTAGATGTGGGGCTAGGGCTTCTTCTGCGTGCCACTCAGTGAACTCTGCAGGTTCTTCGCGTAGTCCGACGTCCCCTCATTTCCTGGAAGCTCACAGAGCTGATATTACTTCGCCGGGGGATCCTTTGCTTGGAGTTAAGGGCTCCTGGTTGGCGCCCATCACTCAGAATTTTGGCTTCGGATCTGTCCTTCTGAGGTTCCTTGTCCGGGGGAAAGAAACGGTCCCCTCAAACAAACCGCCCAAAAGGAACGCTAAAGCCTCAACCCTAGATTGTACTCTTCGGAAACCCACGCATGGTTTAGGGTTTAGGGTTTAGGGTTTTGGGTTTAGGGTTTAGGGTTAGGGTTTAGGGTTTAGGGTTTAGGATCTCTTGGCAAGCCGCGACTGTACTGGCTGTAGGACGAGATGAGGCGAGGGCGGCCTTGTCTGCTTTTGGGGGTTTAGGCTTCGCGGCGCAGGATCCAAGGGCCGTAGGGTTTAGGGGTTTGGGGTTTGGGGGTTTAGGGTCTAGGGTTTGCGGTTTAGGGGATCAGGCTTTGGGGTTTAGGGTTTGGGGGTTCTAAGGTTTAGGGGTGGTAAGTGTCCACCTTTCGGGGCCTAAGGTCCCGGCAAACCAGCGTGCCGTTGAATGCAGGCCGCTGGGAGCAAGCCTTTCAGGAGGTGGAGAAGGAACGTTTGGGCGGTAGAGGCAGGGAGCAGGGCATCACAGCAGAAATAACATTCCTCAGCGACCCAACATGAGAACAAACACCTCTCACAAAATGGAAAGGGGAAACCGCCACAGGGAGGAGTAGGGTTTAGGGTTTGGGCTTCCCTGAACCGTACACTTTGAAACCTAAACCTGAACCCCAACTGGAATCGAACCCTAAACCCGAAACCCTAAACCCTAAACCCTACTGTAAACCCTAAATCCTAAACCCTAAACCTAAACCCTAAACCTCAGTCCCTAACTCTGAGAGTTGAGATCACGAAGCCCTAAAGTCCCCAGATCCCTTTGCCTCCCACCACGTGTGCAGCCGGCGGAAGTCGGGATCATCTGGCATCTCCAAGCCTGTGCCAACAGGGCACTTCTAGAAGTAGGATTTAGTGTTTAGGGTTTAGGAGGTGCACCTTAAATTGCAGCGCGCCAAAAACTCTGAACCCCAAAATCATAAACCCTACACCCTAAACCCTACCCTAAACCCGAAACCCTAAAACCTAAATCCTAAACCCCTACTCAACAAAAACAACTCCTCCCTGCCTCGATAGTAGCCTCCGACCCACAGGAACCGCTGCCAGAAGGGGAAGAGCGCAATGTCCACCATGGAGATGTCCTCGTTTTAGCTAGGGTTTCGGCTTTGGGGTTTAGAGAGTGTGAAAACAAGGGGGGGGAAAAAGGGGGGTTATCAACGGGTGAAGGTGTGGGTTCAGCGGCCTAGCAGCAGCAGCAGAAGCCTTGCCTCTAGCAACCAAAACCCGACCAACACCGAATCACACGAAGCAGGTCGTCACCATGAACCCTACATTAAGGCTCAGGAATTTGCAGAGACCTTGACTGCTAAAGCTTTTGCTCCATAAACAGTGCCGGATCTCACAGTCATATATAACAACGCATTCAGAGTCTCAAGCCGTGTTAAACCAGAACCCATCAGAACCCTGAATTTTCTGCTACTGCTAGCTACCTGCATTACACCCCACCCCTCTTGGGGGGCGTCCTTGCCCAGGAAGTACGGCCCATCCGTGCCCATGGCCTTGGCAAAGGTACGGCACTCCGCAAAGAAGCTCTCTTTGGCCTTGCCCTGTCGCCCGGGATCCTGCGTTCAGTGGAGGTGGAAGGGTTATAGGGTTTAGGGTTTAGGGTTTAGGGTTTAGGGTTTTGGGCTTTGGGGGAGCTGCGGCTTGAGTTTCTTCTCAGGATTCAACAGCTCACCCATGGCGCGCGCCTGGTCCATGAGCATCATGTAGAAGTTCTTCTGCATGCGCTCCGTCACAAAGTCGGACCAGATGCGCACGTGGGCGCGCTTCAGGGGGTCTCCCCTGGGCAGGAAGTACGGGGGGTGGTCGAAGCGCTCGTCCACATACCTGCAGTCACATCTTGCCTAGGAAGCTGGGGATGTGGGGGGTCATGACAAAATCCCAAACCCAAGGATGTTGTGTTGTTGATTCGTTTTTTGTGGAGTCCAGGCTCCTGACTAACCTCAAGGCCCAATTGCGCCTTAGGGCATCCTTGGCTTCAAGGAATAAAGGGGCCTGATTCAACAACTGCGACGTCAAGGGACCCTTTGACAGGCATTAGGCCCTGCGGCCTCGACGGGTTGGCAAACCCCACTTCCCTAAACCCTACAAACCCTTCTCGAACCCCAAACCCAAGCTCCCCTAAACCCTAAACCCTAAACCCTAAACCCTAAACCCTAAACCCTAAACCCTAAACCCTAAACCCTAAACCCTAAACCCTAAACCCTAAACCCTAAACCCTAAATCTACATTGTCAGGGTTGAGGGTTTATAAGGCCCCAACTCTTTATCTACCCCCAAAAACCCTAGACCCCCAAAACCCCAAAACCTTTGTAACAGTTCCATGCCAGGATACTGCACCACATGAAGGGATTCCCATACCTTGTCGCCATTGGGGTCCTTGGCTACTTTTTAACCCTAAACCCTAAACCCTAAACCCTAAACCCTAAACCCTAAACCCTAAACCCTAAACCCTAAACCCTAAACCCTAAACCCTAAACCCTAAACCCTAAACCCTAAACCCTAAACCCTAAACCAAGAAAAGGGAAAACGGTACCACGGGGCTGCCAAGGGGCCGACACCGAAGGCACGAGGCCTTTTGGTGAGCTAGCCACGAAGTCAGGGTAAAGGGCCTGCCATCCGTCTTTCTTTGCAGCAAGGGAATCAAAAAGGGCACTTTTTTTTGCTTCCAGGGGCTTTAAAAGGAGCCCAAACCCCAAAAACAGCTACTCTGGGTCCGAGGAGTTAGTGCCAGCAGGGTTTAGGGCTCAGGGTTTCTCGGGCTGAGGATGGTGGGCAGGGCTGTGTTTGTTTCTGGGTCTTCAGGCTGGGGGTTAATGTTGTTCGTTGTTCGTCGTCTTCTTCTTCATGCTTCTGTCTTTTGTCACATACCCGTGCTCTTCGTGATGTTCATGTGCCCTTCAAACCTCCACCACCATCAGCGCTGCAGCTTCGCCCCATTTGCAGGACTGCTTGCAGTGTGATTAAACGTCACATCCCCAACATCAAGAAACAACGGACTTCTGAACGGTTTAACGGTTTTTTGGGTTTCGTAGGCTTTAGGAACTTTAGGGCCTTGGGTTTCCAGGCAGACAGGTTGAATATCAGCAGTTGCTGCAATTTCTGCCTGTTACAAGGCTTAGGCAGCACTGGCAGTCACAGGTGGTGGTTTCCGAAGTAGGGGGTACCTTCTTGGGGCCCTTATGATAAGGCAATCCTACTATTTCTATTTGGGGGTCAACCCTATTTCCGGAAACCCCCCAAAAACCCTGGAGGATTTGCAGTGGGCCCTGCATCTGGCCCCTTGAGCCCCATTGCACAGGCCTTAAGGTTTAGGGCCTGTTCAGGGACCCTAACCTTAAACCCTAAACCCTAAACCCTAAACCCTAAACCCTAAACCCTAAACCCTAAACCCTGCTGGCTGCCAGCCTTCTTCACCTCGATGGGCAGCTGCTTCTTCGTGTATCCCCCTTGTCACCAGACGGCTTATAGAGCGCTTGCAGACAAAAAAGTAAGAAACTGCAACCTCTTAAGGTTCAGGGTTCAGGGTTTAGGGTTTAGCGTTTAGAATTTGGGGGTCGATGTTCAACTGGGATACTCCGGTACTCTTGATTGAAACACCCTGGATGTTACCCCCCCACAGACCCCCAACCCCTCCAATCCGAAACCCGAAGCATATTCATACCCCATGGCCTGGTAGGCTCGGATCCACTTCATAGGGGTTGATCTCCACGTAGGAATAGTCGACCCCCTTCTCCTCTTCATGAGGCTCGAAGCGTCTTCGGGGTTTAGGCAGGCACACAAACTCCGTCAGTCGCCCTTTCCGTAGCTTTGGGGCTTTGGGCTTAATTAGGGCTTAGTAGGGTTTAAGGTTTGGGATTCAAAGGTCCTCTTTTCCCCAAATCCAGGGAAAACAGGAAGCATCCCAAGAAGGACTCCCCACGCTACCCTCATCCCCAACGCTACGAGGTTCCACTTGGCTCAGGACTTCCCCGCCTCCAGCGCGATCCAGGCACGCTGTGCAAATGGGCAGAACCAGGAAGTGTAGAGCTTCATCTTCTCCTCCTTTCAGTCCAGAGAGCAGGCTATGAGTTATGAGTTGTGACATTTCGATGTTCTATAACTGGGCTAAACCCTAAACCCTAAACCCTAAACCCTAAACCCTAAACGCTAAACGCTAAACGCTAAACCCTAAACCCTAAACCCTAAGCGGAATCCTGGGAGGCGGCCATCCGCTGCATGATGGTCCGCTCCCCCTCCGCCTCCACCCAGGCGGGGTGCCAGAGTTCATCTTTGGAGCTCTGCGCAGCCTGCGACTTGCCACTTGAGGGGCATCTGAACCCTAAACCCTAAACCCTAAACCCTAAACCCTAAACCCTAAACCCTAAACCCTAAACCCTAAACCCTAAACCCTAAACCCTAACCCTAAACCCTAAACCTTAAACCCTGAACCCCTAACTCTGGCCCCTGAACCCTAAAATTTTGAAGGGGTTTCAGGGGGCTTTCAGGGATTTCGAGGGTTTGGGGCTTGGAGCTCTAGTAGGGGTTTAGGTGAATCAGTAGGGGCGTCCCTCGATAATCACTTCCCCCTTTTATTAAAGACCCCCCTAATACTAAAAATACTTTCCGGAAAATCCTGCCGAAACCGAGCCCGCCTTTTAAAACCTATTCCGAATTAGGGGGGGGGGGGGGTTCAGGGCTCCTAAGACCCTGAAGCCAACGAGGGTTTAGGGTCTAATTAGGGTTAAGGGTTTAGGGTTTAGGGCTTCGGGTTCATTAAGGGTTTAGGCTTCAGACTCAAGGCTTTTCGCAGCATGATGCTGTCGGTGAGCGGCCTCTCTTGAGTTTACACCACACTTCAGTACTTGATTACTTGAGTAAATCTGGAGTCTAGAACATGGCATTTCGATAAACCCCCCCCCTAATAATAAAAACACATTTCGAATTTCTATTGGGGGGGGGGGGGGACCCCCCGTTTAACATTAGGGGGAAACGATTAACAGGATTCATCAGACCCCTGCCCCCTCCCCCCCCCATTTCCCTCTCCTAAGAAGCAACCGAGTCTCTGATTTAGAGCTTCAGGGTGTAGGAGTGAGGGAAGGAATCTAAGAGCACCCCCAAAACCCGACCAAGTCTCTCATCCAATCTGTGGGTCGGGATTTCGCAAGGTGAGGGTGGGTGATCGGGCTTGCCTCAGAACCCGCAACCTGCAAAAAGCTGCGGCTTGCCACAAGTCAGGAACTTCGTGAGCCAACTATCGTAAACCCTTATCCCTCAAACCCCTGAACCTCTCAAAACAAAAACAACGCAAGCTCCGCCTTGAACTGGAACATGAATTCGAGCGCTTTCTTCTGGAGATCTTCGACATGCACGCCGTGGCAAGCCCGTGTGGCTAGCACGAGTGGATGACTGTAATCGACATTGTTCAACAATCTCGATGGCTCTGCCAAACCAGGTCCAGCTACAAAATGGTACTGTAGATTGCCGGTACTGGTGGCACTGAGCAGTTGAGCGACTATACCTTTTCAAGGTATTGACAAACATGTCTTAACTATATTAGTTAAGACTGCAAGAATGAGCCAGCAGGAGATGGCCCTCACTCAATAAGCTGCGAGGTATCCATCCCGAGTAGCCTCGCCGCCATCGCTTTCGTGCACGGTAGTAAGTGGAGGTGTACACCTGACTTGATCCAACACCTTAGTGCAGCTGCTCTCGGACCTTTACAATCACAACCCTATTGTATCTGAAACACGAAACTCGAAAATGAAATAGCAAAAAACATACACTTAAAACGGTCTGGAAACTCCTAAACCCTCGATATGGTCACGAATGTCTGCAGCCAACTTGTGGGCCGGCTTGTACTTGTCGCCCTCAATGCCTTTAATCCTCACCTTGCTGCTCCCCAAAACGAAGTTACACAAGTGCTTTCCTTCATCACCTTTTGGTTGTGGTGGCCACGTTGGGCATAACTGCACCGGAATGAGGTCAATGTCATGCTTGTTTTCGTAAGCATGCTTGAGCTCACAGTAAGTCTCGTAGGTGTCACTCGTCTTCTCACCGTAGCTTGAGTTACAAAACGCCACCATGCATCTAGCTCCTCCGAGCCCACGCACAGTCTCGGCGCCAAAATCCCGCTTTGTGTTCACAAGGAAAGTTGAGACTCCGAGCTCATTGAGTTCACGTCCAACCTTTTCCATGTAGTTCTTTATCTTGTTATTGTCCTTCCAGGATCAAATGTCAAATTCATCTACACATCTCAGCTATCTTCCGGATAGAAAGACCGACAACAGACACTACAACTTACTATGCAGACCTAGTATTAAGCCTAGTCATCGGGTGTGAGAAGGCATCCAAGACGCAGTGTTGAAGCGACCTGAGAGCAACACATGATTGCGAGGAGGAGCTTCTTCAGGGACCGGATCACTCACACATTCGGCGTCTTGAAAGCTTGCATAGTCTTCCGCCATGATGCCGGCAGCTTCGTGCGATGACAAGGACAAGCCAAAATGCTCACGGATCGACACGCTCTTGGTCACAAGCCTGACCCTTTTTTCGACAGAACAAAACCGGTGACTAGAATTGACTAGAATAGCATCTTCTGTTTCTGCTGAGGCCACTGCCGCTCATAGTCATGAATGCATACCACGGGCACGGGCGATCATGGCGGATCACCAGACTTTCATGTTTTATGCTGCCGTAAGGCAGGTTCTCTGATCGAAACTCATAGTATACGTAGAACAACATCTACTGCAGGGGACTTGCTAGTCTCTGTTGTTCCATATCGCTATAAGATACCCCAGACTCAAAGCGTTTGGGACATCCCAAACCACCCTGCACCCCGCCTTCCCCCTTCCCCCGCCCCCCCCACCCCACCCCCCGCCCCACCCCTCAAACCGCCCCACCTCCTGGAACCGGGAGGCCTCCAAAACATCCAGGGGCATGCAACCCGCGGTGGTGCGAAAGCACGAAACCCTCGTGAAAACACCACGTGTTTTTTGCGAACAAAAGCCCCTCAACACCCATGATTAAACTCTCACGGGCGCGCATCATCGACGTAGCTTTTCGCAGTGGGCAGGGGCAGGGGGATCATGAGCATCAGCGGCTTCGGCCCGCGGCCCCAAGGCAGCAAAAAACGCTGAAAAAACGCTGAAATCGCTGCAAATACCGTGCTTTTATGAGGTTTTTCGTGCGCGCCTCCGACCCCCACGACCTTGTTGCCCTTGACCTGCCTCCAAAGTGAGCAATCATCGAAACCCATGGCCGGGGGGGTCTGCTGATGCTGCTGATGCGCGAACCCTAAACCCTAAACCCCTAAACCCCTAAATCGCTGGTCTGGGGGCGGGCATCCTCGAGCCATCGCTTCTCTGATGGCTTCGTGAAGCCTTCGGGCCACGGCCCCAAGGACCCAGCTGATGCTCATGATGCTTTTTCCGGGGAGGTTTCCAAGAGGAGAAACCTCGTAAAAATCGAGTGTTTTGCGTGCTCGCGTAAGCATACCCCTAAACACGCTCATCTTACGCGCTCGAACGGCATCATGCCCACAAAGCAGCCGAAAAGCAATACCCTGAATGGCTTTAAGGGCATTCGGGGTCTTGCTTTTCGGTGTTTCGTGGGCATGCAAGCGTTCAAGCACATAGAATCGGCGTGTTTAGGGGGGTTTCCGGTAGGCCGCTGATGCTCATGATGCTGCCTTCCCTGGGCCCCAAATCCCGAGCAACAAAAAGGACGCGTGTTTACAGCGTTTTTTTTTGAAGGCGTTTTTTTTGAAGGATTTTCGAAGGCCACAGCGTGTTTCAAGCTTAGGATGCTTTTCGGGCTCCCAAACCAACCCCGCTGATGCTCCTGTTGCGGGTGCGTGCGCGCGCACGCGCACGCGCCGGGGGGGGGGGGGGGGGGGGGGGGGGGGGGGGGGAGGGGGAAAGCCAGGGAGAGCTCTTTTGCTCTCTCTCTCTCTCTCTCTCTCTCTCTCTTTCTCCTCACATTTCTCTTGTGCTTCCTGCTGCTTATTTCTCTTTATCTTTCTCTTTCTCTGTTTCTTTCTCTTTCTCTTTCTCTTTCTCTTTCCCTTTCCTCTTCCTCTTCCTCTTTCTCCTTCCTTTGTTTAATCTTCTGTTTTGTTTTTCTTCTCTGTTATTTCTTTTTTCCTTTCTTTCTCTTCCTCTAGCTCTTTCCTTTTCTCTTTCCCTCTCTCTCTCTCTTTGTCTCTCTCTTTGTCTCTCTCTTTGTCTCTCTCTTTGTCTCTCTCTTTGTCTCTCTCTCTTTTTCGTCTCTATCAAAACCGAAGAGAAAGAGAAAAACAAACAGGTAAAGAGAAGAGGACACAGAGCAAGAAAAGAGAGAGAGAGGGAGAGACGGAGAGCGAGAAAGGACAAAAGACAAAGAAAAAGGAAAATGGAAGATAGTGCAAGGTTCGAGGTTTCGTGTTCGTATTTTCGGGTCAGCGGGTTCAGTCCGGGACCCCCACCAGCGCATCAGGAGCATCAGCGACCCCAGTCCGGGACCCCCCGGGCGGCGCATCATGAGCATCACTGGCTCCAGCCTTGGATGACGTAGCGGCCCACGCGTGCATAACCTTTCCGCCGGTGTGGCTGTGGGTCCCGTGGCATGGTTTCAGCTGGGTGTTAAGGCATTTTTTCGTCTTTTAACGGTTGCGGTTTGGTTTTTTTTGCGGCATTCGGGTATCGAGGTCTTTACGCTCATGGCGCATGCCTAAAAAGGGTTGAAATGTCATGGCTTTGACATGACCCCGGCGCCAAACCCGCGCTCTCGACTATGAAAGCCTATAGCTGACCCCGCCGTGAAAGACACGCGCCGGGCGGGGGCGCGCGCGCGCGTGCCCGCCCGCCGCATTTGCAGCGGCATTGGCGGCAGCCTTTACAAGCGTAAAATGAGATCAAGTCTCCTCGAGCTTCTGCATGCGCTGCCCGCCCATAGGCGCAGCCCCTTGAAATAAAGCTTTAGGCAGACTCGGCCTTCTTCCTCGCCTTGGCCTCCTCCCCCGCCACGCCTGGCTCGGCAGGGAAGTTCGCTGAGCCCCAAGACACGGATGAAGACTGGATACTCAGTACACCCACTATCAAGCCACCCGAACCCCAAATTCCACCCCACGAAACCTACGCCCTAAGATCCAAAACCCCAAGCCCTCGTGCCTAAACCCTAAACCCTACTCCCTACCCACCCCCCAGAACCTAAGCCCTGACTTCCTATACTAAAACGCTTACAAAACCCTTACCGCTTTCCCCCCGCCCTCGACCCCAAAGGCCCTAAACCCTCAACGCTAAACCCTAAACCCTAAAACCCTAAAACCCTAAAACCCTAAAACCCTAAAACCCTAAAACCCTAAAACCCTAAAAACCCTAAAACCCTAAAACCCTAAAACCCTAAAACCCTAAAAACCAAAAACCCTAAAACCCTAAAACCCTAAAACCCTAAGACCCTAAACCATAAAACCTAAACCCCAAACCCTAAAACCCTAAACCCTAAACTCCTAAACCCTAAACCCTAAACCCTAAACCCCCTAAACCCCCTAAACCCTAAACCCCCCAACCCCCGAAACATGAGGCGGGCGCCGCTCGCGTGCGGGCGCGCCAGGAAGGCGCAGGTTGCGGCACCCGCAGCTGCCAGGCTCAGGGTCTGAGCCTGGGGGGTTGGGGCTTTAGGGTTTAGGGTTTAGGGTTTAGGATTTAGGGGTTTAGGGTTTAGGGTTTAGGGCTTCGGGTTTAGGGTTCAGGGTTAAGGTTTCGGGTTTCGGGTTTAGGGCTTGCTTGAAAGTTGGGGGGCTTTGAGGGTTGGCTGATCGGGTTTGGCTTCTATGGTTTAGAGTTGAGGGTTTAGAAGCCCCAAATTGAGAGACACCCTAAGCCCTAGAACCCTAAAACCCTGAAACCCTAATAAACCCTAAAAATTCTAAGCCCCAAAACCCCAAACCCTAAACCCCAAACCTTAAAACCCTACCCTAGCCTACAAGGCGGTGCGCCCGGGTGACCCGCCTCTCGGCTTCGAAGCTTGCCTTGGTAGCCCAATAGACATCTTATACTATGGGCACCCTTGTTTGGGTTTAGGGTTTTAGGGTTTAGGGTTTGAGGTTTTCGGGTTTGGGGTTTGCGGTTTAGGGTTTAGGGCTACTTTTATAGGGGAACCCAGACCCCCCCCCCCCCCACAAAAAAAAAAAAATAAAAAAGCAAAAAGAAACCAAAAAACAAACAAAAAACAGAGGGGGTAAAGGGTGCCACAGGGCTACCAAGTTGCTGGCAAGGTGGCGCCTCAGAGCCTTGCAAGCTCCAAGGGCTGAATCGGTGTGGGAGTGATTAGGGCTGTTGGCGCTTTGAGGGTTTGTGTTTTAGGTCTTTTAGGTGTGTAGGTTACTATTTTTTTTTGGGGGGGGGGTTTAGGGTAGGGCTTTCGGTCAGGGCTTTTAGGGCTTCGGGTTTTGGGGTTGTTCACTTTAAAGGATTTTCTATAGGGTAAACACCAGCTTCAGGTTCTTTTGGGGGGTTTGGGTCTACAGGGAATTTTTCAGGGCATTCATGCTTCATCTTCCCCCTAAACCCTCTTCTCATCCCTAAACCCTAAACCCACCCTAAAGGACTTAAACACTAAGCCCTAAGCCCTAAGCCCTAAGCAGTAAGCCCTAAGCAGTAAGGCCTAAGCAGTAATCCCTAAGCCCTAAGCCCTAAGCCCTGAGCCCTGAGCCCTGAGCCCTGAGCCCTGAGCCCTGAGCCCTGAGCCCTAAGCCCTAAGCCCTAAGCCCTAAACCCACCCTAAACTTAACACTAAACCCTAAACCCTATCTTCGAACCGATGCGCCTGCATCAGGCTGCGCAGGGCTTTCACCGCATGTAGGGAGACTGCGCTTAGCCAGGGCTGCAGCTGAGGGCGGATAAGACACTTCCCAAACTCCTCACTCCAACAACCTCGGGGGACACAATGAACCCTAAGAGGGTCCATGGGTTCACAAGGGCTGCCGGGGGTTTAGGGACCATTCGTCAGGTGTTGCTGCTTTGCTCCTCCTGAGCTTGTGCATCTGACCAATACCCTGCAATTCACTTAAAAACCTAAACCTTAAAACCCTCAGTGTGTGTGTGCGTGCGTGTGCGTGTGTGTGTGTGTGTCTTTCTTTGGAGGGTTTGGAGCTTTGGCTTTAGGAAGGGGTTTTGAAGGTGGTAACCGAACTCTTCCCCAACTGAACCCGCTTGCTTCCTTTCGGGAGGGCTTCTGCTCAGGTAGGGTCCTTTACGGTGTTCCATTCGGGCTCAGGGTTTGCGGACTTAGGGTTTAAGGGTTTACACCTCTGGTCAGTATCTTTTCTCAGTCGTAACTGTCTCATCCGGTTCACCGGCTTGTAAGCCAGACTTCGCTCACTCCACGTCATTGAGATACGTCTTCTTTTTCCTGCGGCAAATGGGAGGTTTGGGTGGGGATTCAGGGCTCGGGACTTATAGGGCTTGTAAGGATCATGAGTTTCGAGTTCGGCAACCGCAAGCGCTGTTCTACTCCGCCGGCTTAAGTCGTTGGGGCGCTGTAGTCAACTGGCTATTCTTCACGAAGCCCTGCACCAGAAGCCTGCAACCCTACACCCCTAAACCTCTTGATCCCGCACAGCCCCATACCCGCCACCCACATTGCAAACCCCTCAATGCCCAAACCTTGGGATGTTCCCCCTTATACTAACAGTCCTTAATAGGGATTAACCCGAAACCCTAAACCCTAAACCCTAAACCCTAAACCCTATTCAGGATTGTTAGTATAAGGAGGAAGATCCCAACCCAAACCCGTGGGCTCCTGTTGTGCCAGGTAACTCGCTCCTCTTTCACCGTGTTGATCTCTTCCTCCCAACCTGCCACTTTTAGGGTTTAGGGTTTAAGGGGTTTAGGGCTTAAGTTTAGGGTGTAGGGTTTAGGGTTTAGGGTTTAGGGCGAAGAGAGATCAATGAGGGCTTAGGGGTTATTCGAAGTTGGGCTTGTGGTTCTAGTACCCCCTCAAGGATATCGCATCAACAAAAACACATGTGTGTGTGTGTGTCTATATTATCTGTATAATACGCATGGTATACACTCACCAGCATCCGGAAGGAACCGTATATACACGAACCAATGCCGGTCTCAAGCCACACTAAACCCCTAAACCTTAAACCCTAAACCCAAAACCCCAAACCCTAAACCCTAAACCCTAAACCCTAAGCCCTAAACCCTAAACCCTAAAACCTAAGCCCTAAGCCCTAAACCCTAAACCCTGAACCCCAAATCCCCAAAACCCTACACACAGGCCCCTGAAGCTCGCACCGGCTGCCGGCGCCTGTGTGGTTTGTCCGGTCCATGCGCTGTCCCTCCTGCAGCGCCCAGAGCGCCTGAGCTTGCTTGAAAAAGAGTCTAGGGTTTAGGGTTTAGGGTTTAGGGTTTAGGGGGGCGCGAGAGGGGTTGGCCGTCCAAAGTGACCCCCGCAAAAGCAACAGACACGTGTCTGCTCCCTTTTTTGGGGTTGCTTACTTTACAAGGGAACCCTGAACCCCAAAAAACGGGAAAAGGGTACCACTGGGCTACCAAGACTTCAAATGTGCTGCACAACGCAATGGTTGAGCTTCAAGACTGACATCGTGGCGCCGTTGCAACCATGTGGGGTGCATGATTGGAGACCTACCCACACTTCCCACCCCCGTCCTCGCCTCTTCGTAGCGGTGGAGCTTGCTCAGTATGATGCCTTCTCGAAACTTGGCCTCTCGGTTGCTTGCAGTCCACACAGCCTAGACTGCCTCGTCACTCCTGACCACCCTTGAACCCAAAGCATCCATCTTCAAATCGCCCAATGCCACAGACGCTAATCTCCGAGCCCTGTGCGTTAACTCGAACTCTGCTGGCCTAATTGGGTCAGATAACCCCGCAAAACTACATACTTCACGTCCTAAACCTCAACCCTCTAAGCCCTAAGTCCTAAGACCTAAACATTCAATGAATCCTTTTCTGCTTTGGTCATATGGCCTTGTGCCAAGTGGGGTTGATCTCCAGTGCCCTCTGCGCGTCCTGGGCGCTGAAGTGGTGGATGCCAGGTTTAGGGTTGAGGGTTTGCCATTAGGGCCTTCGGGTTTGGGCTTTGGGTTTATAGGGTTTATCGCGTTTAGAGGGATTATAGGGGTTATAGGGTTTTTGGGGTTTAGGGTTTAGGGCAATTCTGCCATACCAGAAGGGGAAGAATCAAGCTGGGTCAGCAGGGTCTACGTAGGGTTTCGACGCGTTTTGGCAAGCTCCTTCGGGTGTTCCCTCAACCCTCAAGCCCCGAAGTCGCTCAGCATGTCTGCCCTTCCCATTTTGGGTATTGAAGCAAAAGGATACAGGACATATACATATATATATATATGTATATATCTATATACATAAACATATACATGTACATATACATATACATATACACATGTCTATATATATATATATATATCCCCTCAACCCTGAAGGCTATTCAACAGGGACCATCAAGTACCTTCCATGGGCTGTCCTCCAGGATCTCTTCCAACTTGAACTTCTCTGTCTCAAAGGCCAGACGAGCAGCCTCTGAATGGGCTGAGGGGGCCAGGTTGACGTTTGGTGCTACAGCAAGATCCACCCAAACCCACAAACCCTGCAACCTCCACACCCTAAACCCTTAAGCTTGAACCCCTCGCCCTGAACCCTAAACCCCATACGTCCCTAAACCCTACAAGCCCCAAACCCTTTCAAGCCCATATGCATACCCTAACAGGCCCATCAGTAGCCCTACCAGGGCCATCACCCTAAACCCTAAACCCTAAACCCTAAACCCTGAACCCTGAACCCTAAACCCTAAACCCTAGACCCTCAGGGTCTCAACTCGCTGGTTTCCCATCACATGGGCTGACAGGGGATTTAAGTGCGAGGGCTTCCGATGTTAACGCGTCGGTTATGGGCCTTCTAGGTGAATTATAATTTGTGGGCTTCTGAAAAAACCCCCAAAAACCAACCTGTGGCACAGTTTTTTTTGGAAACTCTAGGGGTTGTACCTTGGACCCTGAAGGTTGTACCCTTGTATTAAGGGAAACCTTAAGGGGGGGGGGGTTCAACCTTAGGGGTTCGAGTCTGAGTCCCTTGGGAGACCGGGGCCCGGGCAGCCCGGTTTGTGAGGGTGATGTAGCTGTCAGGGTTGCGCTCCAAGGTGCGATCGTAGCACTTCGCAGCCTGGCAGCGCGTACTGAGGGAATTACGGACTTAGGTACCCCTAAATACACCTATATATATATGTATATATGTATATACTTTTTCTTTTTTATTTATTTAGCAGGGTACAAGGAGTTGGTGAACCAAGGCAGGGATACTGCAAGGTTTACTAGTTTTCTGCAGGGACGGTCTCTGCCAAGCTCATATATGTTGCGCTTTATAGGGTTTAGGGTTGAGGGTTTAGGGTTTAGGGTTTAGGGTATGGAGCCCACGGCATGATGCTCCCGTCTGCGTATCAACCTCACTGAAGCAAGAAGGCTGAACTTCAGCGCCAAAATGACCAAAGCCCTAACCCCCACAACCTCAAAAACTCAGGCTCATCTTCGTACACCAAGGCCCAGGCGGCCCTGTACTGGCCTTCTCTGAAGTACGCATCTCCCTTGGCCTTCAAGGCAGGGCAGAGTTCGGGGGTGTGTGGGGAGGGGCGGGGGGTTAGGGTTTAGGGTTTAGGGTTTAAGGTTTAGGCCAGAGTCTCAAAGTTGAGGGGCCCTACAGCCCTAAGCCCCTAAATTGGGTTGACACGGGCTCTCTAGCTTTGCTAAGGGTTTAGTCTTTGGGGATTCGGTGAAGTGCCTTTAAGATTTGTTTTAGCGTTGGGGTTCATTTAGGGTTTAGGAATTCGGGTTTGTTTAGGGTGTAGGGCTTGGGGTTTAGGGTTTAGTGTTTGACCAGTCCTTCTCTTCAATCGCTTCGTCGTCCCACAACCCATCCAAAATCATCTGCTGGTACGGATCGTATGCCTGGCGCAGGGCCACAGTCTGTCCTAAGGCTCATCAGGCTCTTGACAACAGGGGGATGATTGAGCAGTACCTGCGAAGAAAAGCTGCAAGAGACAAACAGGACCAATCCTAGCTCACCCTCAACATAAACAGTTGAGGATTTACAGTTTAGGGTCTAGGGTTACCCTTGAAACGCAGCGACTTCGAGGGCCCAGCCTAGAAGCCACCCTCAGCACTAAACCACACACTACCCTAAGCCCTTGGCGCCAAGCACTGGACCGCCCCGAAACCCTCAACTGCCCCGAAGCCTTGGACTCTAAACCCCGCAACCCTCAACCCTTAGACTTAAACCTAAACCCATAAGCTGAAACACCAAACCATTAAACTCTAAACCCTAAGACCCTGCACCCCTACACCATGAACGCTAAATAAACCCTTACACTTAAAACCCAAACCCTTAAACTGAAACCCTCAGCCCTTAAACCCTAAACCCCGAAATGCGATCCTGAGCTCCTGGGTGTCCCGGCAGTGCGACTGAGGTTGTGGTAGCCCTCTACGACAAAAGACCAGGGCTCTGGCCTTTGACAAGCTCTGGCTTTCGTAGGGTTTAGGGTTTAGGGTTTAGGGTTTAGGGTTTAGGGTTTAAAGTTTAGGGTTTAGGGTTTAGGGTTTAGGCGGGAGAGGTTTCAGGGGTTTACGGTTTAAGGTTTCAAACAGGGTTTGGGTGGGGGGGGGGGGTGGGGGGGGCTCGGAAGCTTGGGAGTTTGTGGAGTTTATTGTATATAAGCCGAAAAACTAAACCCTAACCCTAGGCCGCTTCTTTCAATCTTTGGCAGCTGCTTGCTCCCGAAAGGAGTGCATTCATTGCGTTCTGCAAAGCTGCGGGCCTTGCACTAGGTTGTCCATTCAAGCAAACCTTTCAGGTTCTCAGGCAGGCCTTGTATTGTACCCGACATGTTGGAGATCCTAAACTTTGACCCTAACACACACAGAGCAGCGACTGAGGTCCACGGCGTTTGCTTCGGCATGTAGAGCTCCAGTAGCGGTCGGCCTCTCTTCTGCCTCAGTCGTGAAATCAGATCTCTAAACTTCTGACCCTTGTTGAAGGGTCCCTCTTGGCTTAGGCCCGCAACCGCATGGAGGCCCTGAAAGCCCCGGGCTAAGCCCAAGAACCGCTGGAGCCCTGATCACCTGAAACAATTCGAGCGCCTGGGTTTAGGGTTTAAGGTTTGGAGTTTAGGGTTTAGGCCCTAAGCCCGAAGTCGCCCTGAGCCCTAAAGCCCTGACCCTTATAGGCCCCAGTACCAACCCAAGGCTGCCAAGGGCGGCACTCGACGTGCCACCTGCCGGCAGAGAGTGCAAGGAACACTTGCGCTTCCGCTGGCTACGGGTAGCCCCGGAGCCCAAAAGGCTTGGGGTCATAGGGTTAAGGGTTAAGGGTTAAGGGTTAAGGGTTAAGGGTTAAGGGTTAGTTGAGGGAGTGTGGGCCTGAGCCTTAGGGCTCATAACCCTGGGGCCATGATTGTGTCCAACAGCTTGCAGACTCCCCGGGGTCAGACTCCCCCTTGAAGGAAGCAGGTCTCACATCTCAAGAAAACCACACATGGGGGGTTTACGATAACAGAGTTTAGAGTTTAGGGTTCAGGGCTAGTATAGACCCCCAAATTGCTTGATCCCCTTTTAGTAAGGACCGCAATAAGGTACTCCTAATATCGCAAACCCCCCACATGATCTCAAACCCTGAGCCCTAAACCCTAAAGGGGCTTGGGACTCCGGTAAGTTTAAGATCATTCGGACCGGAAACCCTCACCGACATAAGAGCAGGGCAACCTGAGGCAAGCGCAGAAAACTCAACACACACTGCCGAGGATCGCACGACTCGATAATCAATGTAATCAACCATCAGGAATGCACATCTTTCAATTACACAGGGAGTTGCCGAAGCATTGACATATGCCCAGGAAGCTATGCACGTGCTGCTGCGTTTACTCAGAGGGCAAGGGCCAATCCTAAAACCGAACACGACACAAAATCGCCAGAACCCTAGAGGGCCCATAACCCCAAACCCGAAGCCCTCACCCTGAACCTCACCGAAGACATACAAGCACAGTGTTCGTTGCCTGCAGCCTCGTCTCCACACGCATCCACCCAACTTTCCCTGCCTCTTTAGGCTGTGGGCTTTAGAAGTCATAGGGCGCACCGGGGTTCAGGGGAGGCTTACTGGTTTAGGGCTGGGATGTTCCCCCTTCTACTAACAGTCCTTAAAAGGGAGTATAATTGTGTACTATAATTCCTATTAAGGACTGTTAGTATAAGGGGGAACATCCCAAGCTTAGAGCGATTTGGGGTTTTGGGGTCCAGACTTCAAATCCACAAACGAAAGGCAGCAAGTGAAACAGGAGCCCATAGCGTGAAAGCCTTCCCAAAGTCTGTGACCCTCATCCCCCCCCCCCCCCCCCCTTGAAGGCATGCCTTAACAAAGGGGAGGGGCCCCGGAGGGGCTTGGGGTTTAGGGTTTAGGGTTTAGGGTTTAGGGCTCCAGCGTTAAAGCCTCAATCCCTAAACCTCAACACGGCCAGGCTCATGCCCCCTCAACCCTGAACCCTGAACTCTCAATCCCGAAACCTCGATTTTGCACAAGTAAATCCCTAAACCCTAAACCCTAAACCCTAAGGCGCAGGCAGGATCGGGGATTCTGGATCACTCTTCAGCCAGAACTTGACCTCAGCGCCAATTGCGTGGGGGGCCTTGCGGAGGTTGAGGGGTGTAGGGCTGAGGTCTTTGGGCTTGGGGCTGCTGTCCTGGAGAGTCTAAGTAAGAATAAGAATAAGAATAAGAAATAAGAAATAATAAATAAGAAATAAGAATAAGAAAATCCAATATCATAATAATGGTAATAATAATGGCAGCAACCTTTCTTGGGATGCTGGAAAGCCCTACGTATCAACACCCCAAGGCCGAAGTCGTTGAGCCTTCAAGTCGAGCATCCAGCACCCAGGATCCGAGCCCTGATGCCCCACACCAAAAAAACCAAAGACGTATATTTGTAGGCTCTATATCAATACATTTACATATATACATATATGTATATATATATATGTACATATACATACAGAAATATGTCGCGAAGCCCCCAAACCCTCAACCCTAGTAGCCCTGATGTTCTGAAGCAAGTTGGCTCAGTGCCTTAAGCCACAATCCTAAACCCTAAACCCTACACCCTGAACCCTCAACCGTTCCGCAGTCCAGGGCCGCCGCTTGCTGGCCTCCGAAGGGAATATCCAGCGCGAAGAGCTCCGAGCTGCCTTCCTCGCGCCTTTAGAGATCTTCATATAGGGTTCAGGGTTTAGGGTTTAGGGTTAAAAGGGTTTATAGGGTTTTATGGGGTTTATAGGGTTGAGAAGGTTTAGAGGTTTATAGGGTTAGAAGGATTTATAGGGCTGAGAGGGCTTATAGGGTTTATAGGGTCGAGGGTGGGGTTCAGGGCTTAGGGTTGAGAGAGTCTAGGGCGAGATGTCGAGAGAATACCAATCACGAGAAACTCCAGCTCCAAAAGGGCTGGCCAAGCGGTAGTTGTAAACCACGTATGGGTGGCTGTCAAAATTATGATCCCTTTTGGTGGTTGTCATATCATATTCATATGTATGGCTCCAGCCAACGGTGCCCAATGTCCCCTTGTCCTCTCAGACACCCCAGGAGCCCCAAACCCTAAACCCTAAACCCCAAACCCTGAACCCTAAACCCGAAACCCTAAACCCTAAACTCCGTAAATTCTTTGTTCATGGGAGCTGGGGGGGTAGGGGCATGGCCCATTCTCACAGCCCATGGAGCCCTAAGCTCCACCGCTCAGCATCCGGCTGCATCTCCCGCCAGAGTGCAGGCTCAAGAGGCACCTGAACCAGCATGGACCTTGGCACTGGGTTTAGGGTTTAGGGTTTAGGGTTTAGGGTTTAGAGTTAGGGTTTAGGGTTTCGGGTACTGGCAAATTGTGAGTTCATGCTTCAGGAACGCTAGGGGGAGTATTCTCATTTAGGCTTCGGGAACTTTAAGGGAGTATTTTGGGGTTGTCCCAGCTTGAGTTCATTCAAAGCCAGCCGGCGCAGGATCGTAGTTTCTCATGTCAAACAAGGGTTCGTTCATGACAAGACCTGTAGTTGCTGGAGCCTCTGGATTCCTGAACGTTCTTGGCGGGCCTCAGATCCTAAACCCTAAACCCTAAACCCTAAACCCTAAACCCTAAACCCTAAACCCTAAACCCCCTCGGGCGCCCCACAGGGTGGACTCCTCCATTCCGAAGCGCAAGTCGCAAAGGTCCTGCATCTTCCACTTCTTGGCCTCCTTCGGGGCGTCCTGCCATGCTGAGGGTTTAGGGTTTAGGGTTTAGGGTTTAGGGTTTAGGGTTTAGGGTTTAGGGTGTAGGGTGTAGGGTTTTAGGCGTAAGGCTGATCTGGCTTATGTAGGGGATCCGAAGCATGGGCCCTTAATTTGGGTCTCTTGTTGTAGAATCCTTATGTACACAGAATATAATTAGTGCCCATACTTCGGATGCCTATAAGCAAGGGCGAGGGGCCATACTAAGGGCCCATGGTTCTGACCTTGGATTGTTGGGCTTGTAGGGCTTCGAGGGCTTCTAGGGCTTCCAGGGCTTATGAGGCTTGAGTTCGGGCTTTAGAGATTCTTGGGTTCATGGAGGCTGGTTTTGGTGCTCCGACACCTACAAGGAGCTCACGCACTAAACCTCAAGACCGGAAATCCATACCCTAAACCCGATGAAGCGCGATAGAAACCAAAAGCCCTCTAAAGCCTCTCAACGCTAAACCCTAAACCCTAAACCCCAAACCCCAAACCCTAAACAACCATCGGATTGCCTCCAGCATCTCCAGCTCCTCGATGAGGACGTCGTCGAGGTCAGCCTGGCCGTGCGCAATCAGCATGGTCTCAAGCCCAGAACTATGTGCTAGACCCAGAAGTAACCTAGGAATGAAAAGGGTGCCCTTTTTGGTTTTAAAGGGTTTATAAGGGAACCGTGAACCCCCCAGCAGACCCTGAACCGCCATAAGCTCTAAAGCCATAAGCCTCAAAAGCGCCTAAAACCTCAAGCCCTAAACCCCTAACCCTAAACCCAAACCCACCCCAAACTCTAAACCCCAAACCCTCAACCCCAAACTCTAAAGCCCCGACCGGTTTCGTGCCACCCAGACCACCCTAAGGCGCAGGTGGCCCTAACCCCCTCGAATGCAGCTCTTTCTTGGGGGTTTGCTATCTTGTCATGACGAAGAAACCCTACAACCTTGAACAACATTATCCTAAACCCGATAATAATGGGTTTAGGGTTTAGGGTTTAGGGTTCAGGTTTTATGGTTTAGGGCTTAGAACCCTATACGCCCGCCTCCTCAGTCTCGTACTTCGGCTTGCAAGTGGGGTTGCAGTACGTGGAGGGCCTTAGAAGTAGCAGAGGGCTGAGGGGCTTAGGGGCCTTGAAGCTTCAGGGCTGAAGGGGTACCTTCCGGCTCCTACTAGAAATGTTTAGGGCCTTAAGCCGGCTTTAGTGCAAGGGTTGGGGGGAAGACTCGAGCCAAGAGCGTGGCAAAAGAGGGAGCATTTCTGTTAACCTGACCTGCTCTTTCAGACCCGCCCTGTAGCCCGAAACCCGCCCTCTCAACCAGGACTGCCCTTTAAGCCCCAAAACACTAGTAAGCTCGACCGCGACATCTGTAGAGAGAGGTCTCGGGTTTTGGGTACGACTACCAAGCCCGAAACTCCCTGTGAATACCCCATGACATCTCCGCACTTCTACTAGCCATGTTATCTGGACTAGAGCCTGTGGTGCTCGATACAGGGATCACAGGAAAGTAAGTCCTAACCCGCTGGAGTAATCCCCAAAAACGGCAAGTCAAGGGAACAGAAAGGGCTGGGCGTAAACTTCCCACTCTTGTCCATGATCATCGGGGTCTTCTGCATGTCCTCCGTGCTGTGCAGGGACTTGAGTTGAGGGTTTCAGGGGGCTGTCACACCCTGAAGTTTAAGCCTGAAACCCTAAACCCTAAACCCTAAACCCTAAACCCTAAACCCTAAAAGCCAAAACCCTACATCCTAAAAGCTAAAACCTAAAACCTAACACCTAAACCCTTGCCTTGTCCCACTTCATGCTCGGCCGGTTGGCTTCGCGCTCATCACGCATGAGCCTGCTCCACAGCCTCATGCCACGAAGGCACATGTATGGTTAAGGGATTCGTGTTTGGGGTTTAGGGTTTAGGGTTCAGGGTTTAGGGTTTAGAGTTTAGGGATTGGAGTTCCGTAGCCCCTACACAGGGAGAAGGCGCGAAGCTCTCGTACTTTGAAAGGCTGCTGCATGATCTGCATCAGGGTTGTTAGAGGATCTCTTCAGATCGATTGTAACCTTACCTCCTGACTCCGGGCCCTTGACGTTGTGAGCCCAAATCACGCAAATCCCCAACTCCGAAACAAAACTCAACGAGAGTACCCTTCCCTAAACCCTAATCCTAAACCTTGGACCCTAAACCCTAAACCCTAAACCCTAAACACTAAACCCTAAACCCTAAACCCTAAACCCCAAACTCTAAACCTTGGACCCTACACCCTAAACCCTAGCCCTAAACCCTAAAAACCCTAAACACCTCCCCCACAAGCGTCGGTCCAAGAGCCCCGGCTTGCCAGGCGTCTTCTTCACCAGCTCGATGGAGATGAGCCAGTAGCGACCCCCGTGCCTGGAAGCTTTGTGGCTCGAAAGGGTTTTAGGGGGTGTTAGTGGGGGTTTAGGGCGGATTAATAATAGGGGGTTTAGGGGCATGGGGGGTTGTAGTCGGTCTTAGGGGGTTTATTGGGTTGTTTTCGGGGCTTTGCAGGGTTTCTAGTATAGGGTTTATAGGGTTTGTAGGGTGTATAGGTTTTAGGGCTTACCATACGAACCCATCACAAGGCAGGTTTGGGGCCACAACAAGCAAAGCTCTAGACAGTTGCATCTTGGGTTCAAAGTACCGGCTCCGGGCGTTTCAGGCCCCCTGAGCCCTTAGACGTCATCCAAAGGGCTCTGGTCTTCGGGTCTGAGCCGCTAGGCAAGGCTTCTGGAATCCTCATTTCATACTTGTCTGGGGCCGATGGCAACATGTGGCAAGTTCGCAGCCGGAAGGCCCTAACCTCCTGAATCCTAAGCATCCAAAGCCCCCTTGTCCCCTCTGAGCAGGTGGCTTTGTCATGGTCCAGTAGCACTTCTCCTTGTTGAGCTGCTGAAGTGTGGGCCTCGAATGTATCTTCAGCTCGCTTTTTATTGCTGTAAATTTGCAAGACTCCTGAATATGGAGGCCCGCTCTCCCTGCGACTCCCCACTCCCCTTACCAGACAGGCACCCCACCCGTGCAAGCCGCGGATCATGTGCCACGCGGAGCTTCCACCGCCTTGGACTCTGATAGGGCTTTGGACCTACAAAGGTGTAGGAAGGGCTGATGAAGGTCCTAAAGTCCATCGGTAGAGTTCGACATGAGGGTTTTTACTCAACCCTCAACCCAAAAGGGAATCTCAGAGAGGGAGACGGAAGCCTCACAGGAACGGCTACCTCAACACATCTCGACACGAAAGACTGAGGCACCAGCGCTTGCAAACCTGACGCACCAGCCAAGATCTAGCTTAGGTTTAGGGTTCAGGATTCAGGGTTCAGGGTTTAGGGTTTAGGGTTTAGGGTGTAGGGTTTCGGGATTAGGGTTAGAGCTCTCATTGGGGGGCATACTTGGAACTCGCAAGTCTGCAGACATCTTCTTCTTGCACACGCGATCCGTGCGCGCTTCAGCGTGCAACACTCTGCAATGCTTCGAACCTACGGACTCCATGGAGTCCCTAAACCCTAATCCCCAAAACCCAAAATCCAAAACCCTGCAAAACCCTAAACCCTAAACCCTAATCCCAAAACCCTAAACCCAAAACCCTAGACCCTAGACCCTAAACCTTTTTCAGACAGCAATGTGGGCACTGTGGGGCACGCAAGCTCTGCATTGGCACAGGCCTCAATGCTGCGCTCGGTGAACTTGATCATCATGTCATTCGGGGTCAGGTCATCCACACCTGGCACGGCAGAGGTGGAGAAGGGTGTGCTTCTCATGTCACGGGTTTCCCTACTACTCCCTCTATACAAACCCCCTACCCCCCCACATTCCCCCCACTTTCTTCGGCTTCCTGATCCCTAGATAGCCTTAATTATGGGCGGAATCTAGGGGGGGGCTTACAGCTGCTTACATACACCACGTCTGAGGCATCCTGCACACTTGCGCCCGACTCAACCCTAAACCCCAAACCCCAAACCCCAAACCCCAAACCCCAAACCCTAAACCCTAAACCCTAAACCCCAAACCCCAAACCCTAAACCTTAAACCCTAAAACTGACTGCCAAGTCAGGCTTTCCGGACCCGAGGTCCCCCGAAAAGCCCCGCTGCCTTTTCGACTATCCCACTCGCTGGTGATCTTGTGAATCTGCCGCGTGCCACCGCCTTGACACGGAAGAAAACCCTATGAACCCTATGAACCCTATGAACCCTATGAACCCAAAATCCTAAACCCTATGAACCCTGTAAACGACTTTTCGGCTGTGATTGGGATGCTGAGTAGTTCGTCAGGCGCTGATACGAGGAAGAAAAGAAAGGCATCCAACGTGGCTTCTACACACGCTGCCGAGCTCATACAATCCAAGCCCTAAACCGTGTGATGCTTGGGGTATGAACTCTGGGGCTACATTCCGCCAATTCGCCCACACTGGACGCCAAGATTCCTGAACTCGGTAGTGATGCCCTTCAGCTCAGATAACGAGCCCCCCCCCCCCCCTAGAAACAGCACAAGTGCACACAGACACAGGAACCATTTTGGTATATTTAGGCCCCACTATCCCGACAACCCCATGCCTGCCTCCTTCATAGGGCGGTCTCAGCTGTATCGCCACGCAGTAGCTGTCCGCAGTTTGGTACGAGTAGGTGTGGCTGAACTCCTGTGCCGCCATCACTTGCAACCCTAAACCCTACACCCTAAACCCGAAGCCCTAAACCCTAAACCCTAAACCCGAAGCCCTAAACCCTAAACCCTAAACCCTAAACCCTAACCCCTGTTGCATGCTGCAGGTTCTCTATGTTGCAATCCTATCGGGCTTGGGGCTTAACTATGGCCAATGCCAATGTGGCGGCTCCACCAGAGAAGCCCGGAAACGAAACCATGCTTGTGGGACCCGGATACCTTAGGCAGGAGGGCTATAGTAATCCCTTAAACCCTAAACCCTAAACCCTAAAGATCTCAAATTTTGGGGTTCCCTTAGTCCTATAATAACTTTGCGGCTCAGCATGCGCACAACATGGTGATCAAGCTAGGACATCCGCGATGATGACAGGCAAAGCCCCTGGTGTCCCGCGGAGGGCCAATGACGCCGTGTGTCTCCATGGCACTTGGTTACAAGGTGCCTGGGAACTTAGCTTGTGTTGCTGTGTCTCTCAGTGCGCCTATTTCTTGACGCGGGGACTTCCTCACAGAATCCTCCTAAAGTGATCTTACGGTGCGGAAAGTACAGTTTCCTGCACATAAGTTGCGCACGCCATCCGGGCGTTAAGCAAGGTGGCTCCAGGTATCTGGTACAGTGTTCGACCTCTTGACCTTGCACTCAAGCTCCATGGCTGGGTGGGTCCAAACAGCTACGGTGTCCAACTGCTTGTGAGTTTGTCAGGAGCACGTACTTGGTAGTCTAGTACCCATCCCCTTTTTTTAATGGCTCTTTTAGAAGCGAACCCAAGAACAAAAATAAGGGTAAAGGTACCCCTGGGCTTCCAAGCTTGCTCAGGGACACGTCATGGCTCTCACACACACGGCGTCCTGAACTTACGCTTCACAAGTTGCTGCCTCCAAAGACCCCAAACCCATGAAGCCAACACCCAGTAAGCCCTAAATCCTACAGCACCGTCCCAAGTACCCCCAAAACATGTTCAAGATACCTTTGGGGCCTAAAGCATACCTCAACGCTTAGCCCCGACATCCTTAAACACGTCCATTATCTGTATATGTACAGGTACATACATATGTACTTGCATAAAAAAAGCCCGAAATCCTAAGCACTCGCAATTATATGCGCATGCATACATGTCTACACACGTATACCAACAGGTGTACATATAATATGATGTACATATATGGGCAAAAAAGCCCTTAAACCCAGGGCCATTTCTTTCTCATGGGCAGACCCAGAGTACCCAGAGATGGCGATGCCTGGAGCACAGAAGTTCGGGTTTCGGGTTTCGGGTTTAGGAGCATACACAAAACGAGGCTTTTGGGGTTCTAGGACTTCGGGGGCTCAAGCAGGGGCAAGAACCTAGGGAGTTGCTTCGCACACCGGAGTGCAGGATGAGGGATTTGAAAGTTAGAGGCACAAGCTTGCTCTGAAAACGGTGGGTGAGGAATAGAAGGCTGCAACTGCAATGTGCTTGCTTTCATGAAGAGCCCTGGATCAGTTGCCGGTCCACTTGGGGCTTCTTGGCCCAAGTTCAACCTGCCCCAGGCCACAGCCCAAAACACTGTAGACCCGAAGTTTTGAGAGAACTTCAACCCACACTCACCCTGACCAAGAAGTTGTCCATGTGTTGTGTGCTTTCTCCTTGTTCCGGGATTCCGTCCTCTTGCTGGCGTGTACTGCCGTCAGGAGTAGGCGTGGCTTGGCCAGCTTAGCGAGGTTTGCTGAGATCTTGCAGCGCGCAAAGGGGTTAAAGCTTTGAAGCTTAAACACTAAACCCTAAACCCTAAACCCTAAACCCTAAACCCTAAACCCCAGATCAGTAGCGGGTTTCGATCCTGGCCTGCTGTATCAGCCCGAGGCCCGACGTCCTAGGTTGCTCGCCCTGCAGACTCCATGGACCCCAGAAGCTTTTTAAGCCATTGCAGCCTAAAGGGTTCAGGGTTTAGGGTTTAGACAAACCCTAAACCCGAAAAAAACCCAAACAGCTTAAACCCGGCACCTTAACCCCCTTAACACAGCCTCCAACCTTAGGCTCCTAATCCCCTGAACCCCCAACATTAAACCCCGAAACCCTAAACCCTATAAAGCCTAAACCCGAAATCCTAAACCCTAAGCCCTAAGCCCTAAACCCGAAACCCTAAACCCTAAACCTAAAGCAGCCTGCCTGGCCCCAGCAGCGCCAAGAGAAAGACCAAGGCCACGGATGCCATCGACGCGAGCAAGGCAAGGCCCTCCCAGTGTCTTAGGAGCTCCATACCTGCGTTTAGGGTTTAGGGTTTGGGGTTTAGGGTTTAGGGTTAAGGGTTTAGGGTTTAGGGTTTAGGGTGCCGCTTCAAGGGCTTTGGGCAGTTTAGGGTTCAGAGGTTCGCTTCTCGAGGCCTTACAGGGTTTAACGGGAGGCTCTAAACCCCAAACCCTAACCCCTAACCGCTAACCCCTAAACCCTAAACCCTATTTTGGGGTTCCAGGTCCATCTGTGTAGGGCTGTTGAAGGGTTCTCTTTTCAAGGTGGTTTTGTGCAAAATGTTTCGCTGGGACTGGGTGGCACCAACTTGTGGGGCTTGTGTACATAGCAGCTGATCAGAATACCTGCACCCACACAAGCCCGACAATTTCAAACAACCCTAGAGCATTTCCCGAGGAGGACCCTTAGAACAACCCGGTTTAGGGTTGTTGGGCTTGTGAGCACACCCTAAACGCCCGCTGGAGCCTAGGATCAGGTGCTCTCCACGCAGGACCTGATGGACAGGCTTGGCAGGAAATAGGAGTAGCAAGAACAGCTGATGCAGGGTATAGGGTTTAGGGTTTACGTAGGGTTTAGGGTTTAGGGTTTAGGGTTTCGGGTTTAGGGTTTGGGGTTCAGGGTTTAGGGTAGCAAGAATAGCTAGAACAGCTGGTGCAGCGCCAGGAAGCTACCTCACGTGAGGGCCTTTGCTGGTACAAGGTAATGCGGGTCCAGGCGGATTAGCCCTAACCTTTGACCCCGAACCCTGACCCCTTCCCAAACCCTCGCACCCCTGAGAGCCAGGAGTCCCCCGCAACTGAAGCCTGAACCTGTACAAACCCTAGCCGCAATTCCCGAAACTGGCCTAAGCCCTAAACCCCGACAGGGCCGTCATGCGTTAAAGGTGTAGGGTCTAAACCCTAAACCCTAAACCCTAAACCCTAACCCAAAACCCTGAACCCAAAAAACCCTAAACCCCAAACCCCAAACCCCAAACCCCAAACCCCAAACCCCAAACCCTAAATCCTAAACCCTAAACCCTAAACCCTAAACCCTACGAAGGGCAGCAGGGCCTGAATGATGCCGAGCGCGGACATCAGCCAGCAGCAGCCCGCGGCGAGGCGCAGCACGGTCTCGCTGGGCACGGGACCCGCCTCCGGGGTTTCAGGGTTTGTAAGGTTTAGGGTTTAGGGTTTAGGGTCTAGGGTCTAGGGTCTATAGGGTTGAGGGTTTAGGGTTTAGGGTTTAGGGTTTAGGGTCTAGGGTTTAGGGTTGAGGGTTGAGGGTTCAGGGTTCAGGGTTTAGGGTTTAGGGTTTAGGGTTTAGGGGTTAGGGCTTCGGGTTTGGAGTTTGGGGTTTAGGGAAAGGGCGGTAGGACGAAGGCTATGGGTCTCTGGGCTTGCAAAGGGTGTATGGAGCTTAGGGACGTTTTCGGCTCTGGAAGGGTGAAGAATGGGATGCGCGACGTGGCTCTTGAGATGCTAGTCAGTTTCCATGATAGGGTTTTGACAGTTACTTATAAGGGGTTTAGCCCTAAATCCTAAACACTAAACCCTAAACCCTAAGCCCTTAGGGTTTTAGGGCATTTCAGGGCCCTCAGGGCATTACAGGGGCCTCGCGAAGAGTGATGAGGATCCACTCCAGCATCAGGAGAACTTCAGTGACGTGCAAGGGCAGAAAATGGGCGATCTTCACTACAGCGCCTGGGTGGCTGCCAGAGGACCAAACAGAAAATGGGAAGTCCAAGGATGAAGGTTCCCTTAGGGGCTGAACGCCCTAGCCCACAAAGGTTAACCTTTAGTTTGTAGTAGGATTATATATAACCAAAGATGACCAAAAAGGTTCAAGGTGAACTACCCAGCCCCTAAGTCCCTTAGAAAAAAAACAACTCACTGAGTGCTTCCCGAGACGCGGCCCCGAATCTCATAGCAGGGGCTGGCAGAGGCACCGGCCGTCGCCCAGCGGCACAGAGCCTCCTCATTGGGCAAGGCTTTCTTCAAGAAGTGCCCGTGCAAGACCTCTTGGGCTGGCGGCTCCGAGAAGATGTAAGGGTTTAGGGTTTAGGGTTTAGGGTTTAGGGTTTAGGGTTTAGGGTTTAGGGTTTAGGGTTTAGGGTTTTGGAAGCAAAGGCTTGGAGGGTTGAGGAGTGTAGAAGTGTGGGCTGGGAGGATCCTGCAAGGGGGTATGGGGGCATTGAAGGGTTTTGTCGCTGTTCACTCTGAGGTACAGAAACCAAGAGCATGCTACAAATACCATTGGCTTTGTCAACCAATGGATCTTACTAGTTCCTCCCCAGCCCTTCTTTCTTAAAGCCCACAACCCCCTCCGTGCCTGATTACCACCTAACCCCCAGCTCCAAACACGAAGGACTTGCATGTTAAGGAGAGACTTGCAGTCTGGCAACAAGCATGGTAAGTACGCGTCGTATGGGAACGAGCCTGAACTGCAGCGACGAGCACAGAGACGCAAAGCAGGGCAGTTCCGTGTTGGAGCGCCAAAGCCTGCAGGTTAGAGACCAGTGGGATCAGTGGAGTTCGGAGGTGGGGCTTCAACCCTAAGCCTAACGAGCCCTAAACCCCAAACCCTGAACCAGCCTTTTCCTTGGTCCCCGGCCTTTGTGGCGCGCGAGATGGGCTTCAGGTGGATGGCCAAGGAAGCCAAACAACACACCCCTCCTCGCGGCGCTTGCGTCTTTGGGGCTTTACAGGCTTTAGAGGCCCTTCTAAGTAAGGTTTCAGGGCTATAATATAAGGCCCTTAATGAAATTATTGGGGGGGGGGTTATGGTAGTATACTTATGTAGGGACCATATAAGGGGATCCTGTTAGAAAATTATTCCGACCCCAAAAGTAAGCCGATGTTTCCTACAGCGCGAGAGGGCTCCCAGGGTTTACAGGGTTCAGGACTCCGGATGCCGTCCGCTTCTCCAAGTCCGGCCCTGGCCGGCATAGAAGAAACCCTACGGCCCCAGACCCGGAAACCCTAAAACCCCAAAACCCCAAAACCCTAAAACCCTAAACCCTAAAACCTTAAACCTAAAACCCAAAAACCCGAAAACCCGAAAACCCTAAAACCCTAAAACCCTAAAACCCTAAACCCTAAACCCTAAAACCCTGAACCCTAAACCCTAAACCCTAAACCCTAAACCCTGAAGTGCGGGCCAGCCTAGAATGCCGACGCTGAGGAGCTTTGCCTCCAGGGGCGACGAGCTGCAGCGCAAGAAGCGCAAGAGCACCCGGCACACCCAAAATGAAAGTGTACCAAGTCTTGGGGTTTAATTGGGGTTTAGGGTTTAGGGTTTAGGGTTTAGGGCCCGGCCCCGTAGAGAGCAGAATCCAGGACGGTGGACGTGTTGAAGTGAGACGGTACCTGAGCCACGCATGCCAGGATGGGGGTTAAGTCCCCGTAAACTCGAAACCCCAAAGCCTAACCCCAAACCCCAATCGGCAAACCCTGAAAACCACAACCCCATAACCCTATAACCCTATAAGCCTATACGCTTGTAAGCCTATAAGCCTATGCTCTACAACCCTGTAAGCCTACAACCCTACAACCCTAGAGTACCAATATTCATACAACCCTCTAACCCCACAACCCCAACCCAAGACCTGAAGACCAAACTCACAAGGGCCGGGGAACGCCACGCCAGGCTTGCAGGGTGATGATACCGACTTCAACCTCGGAAGCCGGGTTTATCGGGTTTAGGGTTTAGGGCCTTCCGCTTCTACGCGCCCGCAGCCAGAAGCCAATCCCTGCAGAAAGACCGCCCTCTGGTACAGCGCGTGTTGAGGGCACCGCAGCCCTTACCCAGTCTCAACCCTAAACCCGTAAATATAGGGGCCTTATTAATAAGTTCCATAAGGTTTTGGGGGCTACTTTTGTAGAATTATGATATAGGGACCATAAGGGGCTACCTTGCGTAATTATTCCGACCCCTATAGTACCCGAAGGGCCCCAAGACCCAAATGGTAAGGACTTTGGGCCCCAACACAGATGAAAGGCCTTAAATAATGGGGTCGTGGGCCCTTAGGGGTAGCCCTAAACCCCACCTCGAACCCTCTAAGCCCTAACCCTAAAACGCAAAACGCCTTCAACCCTACTGAACCCAAAACCCAAAACCCAAAACCCCCCTGGCCATCGTCAACCCCCCCCTCCCCCCCCCGTGGTTCGTGGTGGGTTTGGGGTCCCCTCCCCTGTGGTTTAAGGGCTTTGGGTTTAGGGTTCGGCTGTAGAGTTCAGGATTTTCACTCTGACCCCCTTGGTCCACTGGTTCACGGTGGGTTTAGAGTTTAGGGTTCAAGGCTTCCCCTCTCCCCCCTGTGGCTCGTGCTGGGTTTGCGGTTCACGGTTAAAGCGGTTAAGGTTTCGGGCTTACCCTTCTCCCCCCTGTGGTTCATTGGTGGGTTTAGGTTTTAGGGCTTTGGGTTCAGGGTTTGGAGTTTAGGTTGAGGGTTTCTCTCTTACCGGGTTAACGGGCAGGGTTTTTTTTGGGGGGGGGGGGGGGGCGGGGGTACCATGGATACCATTGGGGGGGGGGGGGGGTCGATTACGCGGAACGCGGGCTCATAATATAAACCCTGAAGCCCTAGACCCAAACCCTAAACCCTAAACCTCAAACCCTAATCCCTACCCCCAAACCCCGTACCCTAAACCGTAAACCCCATACCCTATAACCCAGTAATACCCTGGACCCAGGAGTAACCTAGGAATAATAAGGGCGCCCTTTTTGGTAAGGGGATTCCAAGGAACCCCAACCCCCCAAAAAATGAAGTAAGGGCCTACTCCGGTCCCAGATACTGCCCTTAACCCCTAAACCCTAAACCCTAAACCCTAAACCCTAAACCCCCTAACCCTAAACCCTAAACCCGACCAAGGCTTGGGTCCCGAGCCAGGGTGGCCCAGGAAGCCAGGTGCGCCAATGTCCCCACGAGGTAAGAGGCCTGCACTTTCGATCGAGAGTGTGTCTAGGGTTTAGGGTTTAGGGGGTTCAGGGTTTAGGGTTTAGGGTTACAGGGTTTAGGGTCCGAGGGTTTCGGGTTTGGGGTTAGATTGTTTAGGGTTTGGGGTGCAGGGTTTAAAGGGTTTAGGGTTTCGGGTGTAGGTTTAGAGGGTTAGAGGCTTAGAGGGTTTCAGGGTTAGAGGGTTAGAGGGTTGGAGGGTTAGAGGCTTGGAGGGTTAGGGGCTTAGGGGTTTTGAAGGTCAAGAGGGTTAGAGGGTTTAGGGTAGCTACCGGGTAGTTATAGGGTTCAGGGCGTAGAGCTAAGGTTTAGGGCTCAGGTTTGATCAGGCTCAGGGTTTGTAGGGCTCAGGGCTTGCATTCTTGTTGTGATGTTGCAGTCATACCTTTGTTTCTTGAAGGGGTTGGGGGGTGTCGGCTACTGTGGAACACTGTGGAACCCAAACGCCTACATCCTACACACAAACCATAAACCCTAAACCTTTAACCCTCAACCCTAAACTCTAAACCGCAGCTCATCATACAAGTGCTGCGATCTGTCCTTGGCTCCGGAGAGCTTCTCGCAAGGAGCAGAAGACCTTCGCAGCACAGAAGTCATGGGAGCTTCCCAAAACGAGGGTTTACGGGCGTGAGGGGTCTCTCTGATACCCCCAAATGTCGTAGATTTCCGGTGAACCTTTTAGGCGTGCGGTTGGGGTGCTCCTGCACCATCTGCTTGCTTTACTGTGCCGACTGCATTGAGGGCGATGCGCCGTCTGAAAGAGTTCGGGGGGCCGGGGCAGGCTCCTTCTGAGTTCATGGTTTGTTTTAGGGTTTTGGAGGTTCAGGCTTTAGGGCTCAGGGCCTTGGGCTTGAGGTTCAGGGTAACCCAACCCTTACAGTGCCACCCGTGACCTCTCCAATGCAACCCTAGATACGCCGAACCCGCAACCTAGCCCCAAAAGGCCAGTTCTCTAAATTATGGTCCCTTCTGGGGTTATTCTTACAAGGCGGCCCCTAAACTTGAGGATCATAATTTTGAGAAATGGACGAATAAACCCAAACCCCAAAACGCAATTCTTCCCAGGGCCCCGGCCATTGCGTTCGAGATCCCGAAGACCAAGGGCTTTCGCCAGCCCACTCGGCCCTCCCAGCCTCAAGTTTCGGTGGTGAGTTTTGGGTGTGGATTGAGCTATGTTTTGGGTCATAGAGTTGTAGGCCTTTACGGTTCCAGGCTGTAGGGTTCGGGGGGTAGGGTGTCCCTTGAATGCCCATGGGGTCAGGAACTTCGACACCCCTTATGTTCCAGCGTGGGTGCTTTACAGCCTGCAGGCTCTTTAAGGACTTTTGGGGGGCGCTTTCTCCACAACGTCGTGGGCGCCAGGGGGGGGGGGGGGTCCACAGCGACCGCACTTTTTTGCGCTGCTGTCGTCATGGGAAGGTGCAGTCTCCGTCGTCTTCCTATGTGTTTGCTGGCGCTTGGCAACGAAGGAATCAGGGAACTAGGTACCTCAGGCTTCCGGGTTCAGGGGTCCACACAAAGGGGTATGCGGACATTTCCCAAAATAAGGGGTACTAGTACTCCTAAAATAGCCCCGGTACATCATAATCCCTTTTGATGAATAAGACCACCCCCAAACAAAAGGGCGGGCACCCCTACAAAAAAACCCTTGCACGGCGCCTAGCTCCCCAGTTCTCTACAAAGAGCCAGCCGGAGCTACTGCCTTGCGCGTTCCCGAGCAGCTGAGGGTCCCTCAAGAGGCCGGAGTGTTGGTCCTTCCGAGGGTGGCCCCCTCCTTGTCTCCAAGTTCCGTATCGGTGAGGGGCAGGAGGACCTTCTTGAGCCTTCTTGAAGCAGCTGGCGCGAGGAAGGAGTGCCTCTACTGCTCCTTCTTCTCCGTCTCGCTCCCGCCTGGTCGGGCTTGGGGGACGAACTTCCCTAGCTCTGCAAACCCTACTGGCAGGGTTCAACGGATCTCCCCCTGGAAAAACAGAGTTCAGCCCTCGGGAATCGGGTGCATTTGGGGGGGGGCAAAACCAAATCTTATAGGGTGAGGTTTCATATACTGTGGAAACTCGGACTGCCTGGTCCCGGGTCAGCCGCCGCAGTGCCGGGATCTTCACCGAACTCGCCTTGCCACATGGCCACGAACCTCCCGTGATGCTCAGGGGTTTTGGGGCTTATACGGTGTTCCCTAGACCCGGTCATAGAACCCCTAGTCTCTCTATTGACATCTGTGTCACAGCAGTTAATCCTTCGGCAAAGCAGCAGGAGAATCACTGCAATGTCGATGTAGAGGTCTGACAGGTTCCAGAAGAAAGACGTTCGAAGGATGCCACTGATGGACAGCAACCAGTAATCAATGACCTGAAGGGCACGCAAGTGCCGTATTCTGAGAAGGGGGTTTAGGGTTTAGGGCTAAGAGTTTACGTGTTCTAAGCATCAGTCTGTCCATTAATTATCTCTCTTGCTACCTCATCACGGCAGCATGCCTCAACATGAAGTAAGGCGTCGGGTGTTGCTCAATACCAGGGAGGAGACCCACGTTGCCGTGGAACAGCTCAAGGCGTTGGGGTTTAACCCTAAACCCCAAGGCCCTAAACCCCAAACCGAGGGCTTTTGGGGAGATTTTTTGGCCGAAACAGGAACATCGCCAAGCTGCTCCCCCTACGGAAACACGGTCCACAACGTTGCCAAGCCCACCAGCCAGCAGGAAGGTCAGACCCACCCGCGACGTCCTGCTCCATTAGCCTAAATGATGCTTGGCTGCCCAGGAGCCTAGGATTAAACGGGTGGCCTTTTTTGCTTAGAAGGGGTTTATAAGGGAACCTAACACTCAACAAAAACGGGAATCAGGGCACTACTTGGCATCCTAGAATGACCACAATCACATCCCCTTGTCATGCCTACGGGTTCAGTATGTAGCCACCTGTGCCTCTATGTTACACATACGTTTTTGTCCGGATTTGTCTGCTGCCCCTGTAGTGGGGCTTGTATCTAGGCTTGTGGTACGTACGGGCACGCTAAGGCAGATCCACGGCCTGACGATCGTGTGAACTCCAAAGGAATCCTAAACCCCAAAAACCCAAAGCCCTAAACCCCAAACCCCCTAATTGAACCCTAAACGCCCGCAACCCTAAGCCCCTGAACCCTGAACCCGAAACCCGTCAACTTCAAGTGTAAGTGAGAGCTTTGAGCGACGTGAATAACGCCCTGTAACCCCCAAATCCCCCAAACAAAACAACCCTGAAAGACAGAAGAAGTAAGGTTTAGATTTTACACTTTGTTTTTAGGCTAAGGTTTAGAAGCCTGAGGCCAAAAGCCCTGACTGGCCATGGCGAAAATCAGGAACCCCCAATTTAGACCCCCAAATAGCAGGATTTCCTGATAATAAAGGACCCTATTTTCGGAACCCCCCCCCCCCCATTGGCCTGGACCCTAAACCCTAAACCCCCTAACCCCAAGAAGGTACCCCTATTTCGGAAACCCCCAACATCCGGCCTCAAGGTCACCTTTTGGGAGGCCCAGGCCATGAAGCTAGCACTGGTCAACGCCCCCAGCGTCACTAGGATCTTGGATCCCAGGGGGCCTGAGCGGAGCCCAATCTAAATCGGCACAGGGGGTTTAGGGTCTAGGGCTTGGGGTTTAGGATTTCGGAGGGCTTGGAAGCTCAGGTGTGGAGTTCAAGTTGTCTTTTGGAGCTTTTGGCGCAGAACATCATCTCTGGTTGCAAAGAATTGTCCTGCTCCGGAATGATGGCCAGTAGAAAACATCAATAGACTTGTACAGACTCTTTGAAAGCGCGCATGACCAGGCACAAGGTGTCCAGAAATCGATGAAGCGGATCATGTGCAGTAGGGCATCTCGCTTGGACTCTCTCTCTCTCTCTCTGACAAAGAATTCCCAGTAATCATGGCCGTCGATTTAATCCAGGACATGCAATAGAATAGTGTAGAACCTTGCCAGGTCAAAATGTTACCCGCTACGCACATGCATAGGACGCAGGTGCTATTTGTCAGCACACGTTGCATCATTTGTAGGGAGATCCTGGCTGTTGCACGCACCATCACACGCACGTCATACCTGCCCTCTGTCACAGCTCCCTGAGGGTTTACAAGCAAAGTAGATGACCAAAAGTGGCTCTGCTACACGGCGTCCTTGCTGTGTTTTGTCTTGAAATCGGCTCTGTTAACAAAACTTAGGCAGGTATCCTCAAAACTGCAGACGAGATGGCTGGAGAAGCTTGTGCTTTGCCAGAAGCTTATGAACGAGCATATCTAGTTTACCATAGTAGATGAACATCATGCTTTACTTGGCTGATTTTCAAAAAGACCAGAACGGCTCCGAGTCTCCCTGCAAAAGCCCGAAAAGGACCCTATCCAAAAACCATAGGGGTCTCTATAGGGGTCTATCGACGCCTATCATAGGGGGCTACTTAGCAGACCTATTTTCATAACACCACCCCCCACACTGTAGCCTCCGGGCCCACAAGGTGTCTATTATAGGGGGCCTTCATAACTAGAATAGGGTGTTGAGGATACTTATGGTATAGTAATATAGGGACGATAAGGGAATGCTTTTAGAATATATTCCGACCCCTACAGGGTGGGGCCCCCTAGTTATAAGTAGAGTTATAAGGGCCCTAAATTGGGTTATAAGGACCCTAAGTTAGGTTATAAGTCCCTTAACTACAGTTAGTATAGTAAGGGGGCCCCACCCTGTAGAGCACCCAGCCCAGGCAGCCTAAAGCTGCTTGGAGGGATGGGAACCAGAATCCCACTGCCGAGCCCTCGTTGAGATGGAAGCCCCAATCGATCCTGGTTGCGCAAGGCTAAACCCTAAAACCCTAAAGCCCTAAAACCCTAAAACCCTAAAACCCTAAAACCCCAAAACCCTAAAACCCCAAAACCCTAAAACCCTAAAACCCCAAAACCCTAAAACCCTAAATCCCTAAAACCCTAAACCCTAAAACCCTCGAACCCTAAAACCCTCGTAGGGGGCTCAAGGGCCAGGATTAAGGATTCCGGGGCATGCTAGGAGACTGGAGGATGCTCCTCTGCAGCTCGCGGGCCTGGGGCTTGGGAGGTTTGAGGGGCTTCGAATGCTTGGGATGTTCCCCCTTCTACTAGCAGTCCTGAATCTAGGATTTAGGGTTTAGGGTTTAGGGTTTAGGTTTAGGGATTATGGTACCCCCCCCCCCCCCCCCCCAAGGCTCAAGGCTCACTGCAATTCCGGGTTTGAAGCTTCTGCCTCGGAAAGCCGGGCAAGGCAAACACTACCCTGATCCTAACGCCGAAACCCGAAGTCCCTGAACCCCCCAAACGCCTAAACCCCCAAAACCCCTAATTACCCAAACCCCTAAACCCCAATATCCCAAAACCCCTAAACCCTCCAGTCAGGGCGCTTGAGTCGGCTGCCTGCCAATGTAAGGTCTAACAGGGAACCTCCAAGCGCGTCCGCTTGGTAGCAGTTCACCTTCAGGAGGGCCTCAAGGCATCGTCATCTCTGTATCATGCAGGGTTTAGGGTTTAGGGTTGAGGGTTTAGGGGCACTGAAGCCTAGCAGAGCTGCAACGAGGTCAGGAACGCAAGTTGGCACTACGGCGAGTCCAAAATGAGTTCAGCATGATGAACGCTACGACAGATATCCTCAACCCTACACTGTGTAAGATGGTGAGGTATGATTTCTATTCCTAGTACTGCGGACTCGAGGTCGTGAATCATATGAAGGTGAAGCAGCTTAGATTTGTACTATAAGCACCTTCCAAGCAACACGTACGCTCACCAAAAAATGTATATATATATATATATATATGTATATATATATATATAATTATAGTTACAAAGAACCCTATAGACACTCAACAAGAACTGTAATATCAACCCTGTTCCATGTAAGCGCATCATCATGGTAGCAGTGTGCATTGAAGCTGTTTTGCATCGCCCTGGATCCTCGGGAAGGCCCAGGGCAGTGACAGCCACCAGCCAGCGCCACATCTTGGGGTTCTAGGGGGCCCCCAATTTCGAGCCCCAAATAGTAGGATTCCCTTGCAAGAAGGACCCCCAATAAGGTAAGGGGAAATTTAGGACCCCCCCCCATTTTGCACCGCACTTTGTTTGTTGTGATCCGGGTGCCAACTAGAGGATGTCGGTGA